TATGTTTAATTGATTCAGTGGTTGATAGGTCTGGTTATGTTTAATTGATTCAGTGGTTGATTGGTCTGGTTATGTTTAATTGATTCAGTAGTTCTGTATTATTTTTAAGAAAGATATAACTAAGAGCATCTGTTAATGGATAACATATAAACTTATTTTAATTGATTGCTTAATGATAGTTAATATAGGTCAGTTGATTGTAGCTATGTTATGTTACTAACACAGGGTTTACAAATCGATTTACAAAACGGCCAGTGATTTTAAAAGTTTCGTTTCAAAGCAAGATCTATTAAATTTTGGCAATCGCCGAATATTATAGAGAGGCTAATATTACCGGTCTGTTTTCAATCACGTTCACTATGGTATCAGGAAAACAAACTGGAAGTTATAGTGTAGAGGTATTTATCGTCTTAACACCGCACCTGGGTCTATTTAATCTTGTGTATATAATTAACTTTAAAATGACCTTTACCTAAGGTAGGCAGAATAGTAGTGCCTTTCAAGTGTCTGTCAATTAGTTGTATACAGGATAATGAGTTATATATTGTCTCCATGGCCGATGTTTACTCAACCAAGTTACCTCGATAAGGAGCATGTTGCGTCAGGTTTCATTAAAAAATGTTTCAAAAAAAAACCCAAACAGAAATGGAAATATGCCTGAAGATGTGTAATGCTTGACTTTCAGATAATGAAGATCATTTTGATGTTTGGTTGTTTAATTGCTAATAGGTTTCCGATTTTAAAAATCAAAATACATGTAAAATCGTAAAACGATTATAACATACAGAACATTTGTTTGATTAGTACTTATAAACACCTTATCGTCTGTTTTAGTTAACACAATGTGGTATCATGTAATGTTGTCGACAGATACATCGCTGTAGCTAATGTCTGATAAAACATTATGTGTAGATGTAAATTCAATCAAGCTGGCCCAGTCTACCGAATTGTTACGTAGCTAATATCACAATGCACACGATAATATTGACTGATGACCATGTGCTGAGCATGATTCATTGTAAATTGCGCTATAATCAGTAATTTTTTGTAATGAAATAAATCTACGGTAGGAATGTCATTACATTTGTAATATACCTATCATTATCAGGTATATTGTCGATACCAAGTAATATTGATGTGATGTTAAGATGATCGCAGGATTGTATTCAAATTAACGGGTGATTGTCATTATCATATAGATAATAGTTGGTCAAGTCGGTATGATTTTTTTAAAATATATAGAACCTAACCAGTTATAAACTCCCATCATTTATGAATGAACACTATTAGAAATGTCAGTTGTTTGAAATGGTATTGAAAACGGAAAATGATAATCTTAAAAAATGTAACAAAACAAAAAAAAAAGATGATGATGATGATGATGATGATGATGATGATGATGATGATAACAGAATGTCTGTATATTAAAATTCTCGTGCTCCGGACGGGAGTGGGGATTACGATATACATGTATCGGTATGTAAGTATGAAATTCGAGGAAGTACGCGTCTTTCTATTCTAAAAGGAAAAAAAGTTGACTATAGTTTGATGACAGGGATTAAATAGCAGAACCATCCTTACATATTTCTTAACCTTATACATTTAAATCTAAAATGGTATTATTTGTATAACCACATTACAGAAAGTAAAGCCGTGTAGGCGAGTATTTTTCAAAGGAATGTATTAAACACATATCGTTCGTCTTAGTCATGTGGGGTTTTCATTACTCAAAGCCCTTTAAACATGGCGTTCTATCGGTTTCAATACTCTCGGAAAATCGTACATGGAAAAGATGTCTCTTGTATTCACACACCATTGAAGAAGAGCCATTCAAGGGTACTTGTTAGGGAAACGGCGGTTATCGAAATGTGATGACAAGGTTCTAATAATATGGCAGAAAAGCAAGCCCAAGTTTTTAATGTATAACAATCCGTCATTGAAATGGAAAGGTTTTTTAATTCTACTTCAATGACAGCACTTTGATATTCATATTTGTCTTTCTACTCTTTGCCATTTATTTATTTTTGGTTCTGTATTATAAAAACACTCAACTGGTGACGCAGAATTCGGCAGAAAATAGGAAGATTTTTTGGTGAAAAAACCCAAACATATAGAAAAACAAAGAAAACAAAAAGCAAGCCAATATTTGTATAACTATTATTTTATCATTTAGAACTTTAACACAATCGAGACCTAGGTTAATCTAAAAATGTAATTGGTCCAAGCACATGTGATATATGCATGATTACGTTTAAACTGTTTGATGATTTCCCTAGTGTGAATTTTCCAGTTCTGAATAGAAACATCGCTACCTCCCCAACCTTTGGTGTTTACATGTCGCAGTTGACTTTATATTCAAGGCCCGCTTCCCAATATCCCGATTTTATGGAAGAAGTCGTCAAATGACAAACTTATATCACAGGGTTTCAAGAGGGGCAGGTTGATAAAGATTATTTGGGGAAGATTTCGGGTCGACATATTGATCTCATTGATAAACATTCCGTGTGTGACATGAAGCTGGACGTGATTGGTGATCTTTATCATACATGTTGGTTCCCTTATTGTAGTGTACTCGTTTGAAAACATGACATTAATGGATATACCCAGATTTACATGGTAGGTGTTCTTGGTGATGCTTACTCTTGAAGAACACCTGGTCTTATTCTCCTAGTACTGTTTAAGAGTCTCCATAAGAATCTTTCTTCTATTCGCACTTTAAACTGTTTAAATAAAGTATATCGTTAATGTATAAAATAACAAAATATTTTTATTTATTTATTACTCATTAAATACTGTCACACCATACTATGAAACACGTATCTAAACCACTGCTAAGTCGAACCATCGGATAGGTCGAATATTTCATTTGGTCTTGTCGACTGCAACTTATCCTTGTTTTACTGTATTTTGCCCTAGTTTTATTAAATCTGAGTTTGGGTTATGATTATGTTGACGTGTTGGTGTCTTCTTGTGGCCACAGACAAAATAAATGATATAACGTCCGTCAGCTGTACTGACTTTTAATTCACCCTGTCTATTCTAAACGTTATTCATGACATCCTGTATTCTTGTCAAATATCTCCTCATTTATTCTGTACATCTTTCAGGTTTCGTTTGAATACTGCAGAACATGGGAGATAACTCGTATACACTGACGGATAATTATGGTCACGGAAAATAATCCATCTCATTTGGTTTATTTGTAACCTGATCTCATTTTTGAGAATATGACATTATGTACTTTGATTAGTCAAAGTTTACAAAGTGGATACAGTAGATGAAACGGAAGACTCTTATCTCCTGGAGTAAATAAAGGATTTCTGTGTATCTTTTATTTTCTTTCTTTTTTTCTTCCATCGTTTCATCCATTTTGACATTGCTGACATGTCGGTATTTTCTTAATATCATGTTTTTTAATGCTATTGTTTACAATTGTACTTGGTCTCATATTGATATCTTTATGATATGAAATCTCTGGGAATTTTGACAGATATTGTCTTATTACTCGCAATGTAATTATAATTTGGTCTCTCATTTCATAACATGGCCAGGAGTATACGAATGTCGCATCTTCTCTTTCCGTCCAAAATCTGAGTGTAATTATATGAAATGATTGTGTGATTTATTTCTTATTTATCAATTGATTATTTTTTTACATTCATTGGTGTGTAGTATACATTTACTTACTGTCGTACCCAACATATGGTGCGCGTGTACAGCGCATTACTCAGTAGATGGATGATGCTTATTTTATCACACACGTGCACCATATGAATAAAAAACAAAAAAAAAGAATAAACTAATATGAAATAAAGAACGGGCAAAGGTTTTATTTACAACGAGATCCGCCACATGTTACAATGAATCGATTTAGTCTGATGCAGTAACATTTAACACAATACTATAATTAAGTATATCAACTTACTACTGAAATATTCGTAGATATCAAATACACTCTAGCACGAAGACAATTCACAATCAAGTATATCATAGCAGAGTGAAATACACATAGATAATTGTCAATAATGGAATTTACAATACTGAGTTATTTTCATCATACAATAGAATGCTTTACATTTTTTGATATACAAATAAAGTGTTGCAACAAAGAGCTTGCAGTGAAATGCATATACATAATTAGAAATTATCTTTTCGATTTTTTTTAACTTAATGACAGAAACTTCCCTAGTTTTACTAATTTTTTCGTATTTGAGTGTCTAATAGCTGAATCAATTTGAAATATTTAGTCTTCTATAGTAAAACGACTTAATATACTGAAGTCGTAGGTTATTAAACAAGTTACATTTCAATACAAAATGAAATTCATTTTCAATGTCATTGGAGTTGAAAAAAAAAAAAATACAGCTTTTGATCTCTATGTAGGTTTCTATATCTCCTTTTTCATCATTTGAATAATGTGGGCTTGTTAGTCTATGGTGTGCTGTAGTCTTTTCGTAAGACGTAGAAATTGGTTTTCTTCAATAAAATTACATAGTAAAATTAACTATAAGATTATAAGGTTAAGAAAACATTTGGAAACTTACTACCGATACACATGGACTCGAGTGTAAAATATGATAGGTAACATAACAGAACATCCTTTAATAACAACCTGAATTTGAGTTATCATTTCAAAAGCTCTTATAAAAACAACTCGCGTAGGGCATTTGATTTTAAGATGTACTGAAGCTACTGTGCATGTTAATTTTTATCTACTACAAATTTAAACATCTGGATGCTACAAAGGGATTAGTAATTTATGTCACTTTCGATATCTCTTGCATAGGAGAAGTTCAAAACCTGCACATTTTGTCAAATATGTAGCATATACAACTTTACTTGAAACTTGTAAACATATGATTAGATTCCCAGTCTATCATATCCAGGATATGGTACTAACAAGAAACGGTCATAAATTTGACACGACACCGGTCGTCAAACACTCCATTGAAAACTTCCGGTCAAGAAGAAGAGAAGCCGGTTACATAGTTACATAATTTAAAACTGCTAAAAAGTGATTGGAAACGATGAGTCTATTCGTCAGAAAAACTGTACAGTTTATCGGTAAAATAGTTAAACTGTCCAGACCGGTAGTGTACTCGAAATCCAACAATAAACAACTGCTTACATCAGACGTCCTCGGTAGAAGTGCACACACAAATAGCAACACTGAGGAGGATTTAGTCAACAGATTACTGGAACAATGGTGCTGTGGAGTCCAGCACTTTGGAAAGCTGAAGTTGAATGTCCCGTTTGAAACCCGCGTGTCTAGTCTTAATCCCCAACTATATCCCGACATGAATAAAGTGATTATAAGATTGCTGTATATTGCTCCTGAAATGCCAGCAACTGATGATGTGCACGAATTTTTATCGGGTTTAACAAAGTTGTACGAAGTAAAATTTGACACCCACGACGATATGTGCCCAGAAGAAATCACTGTAGACGGAAGATTTAAGGCAGCAAAACTGCCAATTTCTTGTCATTGTGAAATACCAATTAAATTTGGTAAGGATATTTGGTAATAAACTCTTGGCAGATCTAGTAATTCCAACACTCTTGATATCTTTAAATTTTGTATTTCATCTCTTTCCAAAAATTAGAATCTCTCTCCTTCTTTTCATGCAAACAATCACCATTATAATACACTGACATGATGTTCAGTATGGTAAGTCAGTAATAGAAGTACAGGTAGACTTACTTTTAATTGTGATACAGATTAATGTTGTAGATAAGGATCAAAGTCAGTGCTAGTGATAATTGAATAATAAAACCACCATTACAAATGTCACACTTAGAATCATATGTTTGATTATATCCTATCATATGAGCAATCTACAGCATATACATTACACAGCTGTCTGTCTACAGCTGAAGGGGAAAAAATGAGTTGTTTCCCCTTAGACCATTTTGCTGATGGGATACTGCTTTAATAAACCTAAGTTTTTAAAGGCTATTCAAAAATAAATTCAGATTTTATGTAAAGTGCCACATGATCTGTTTCAGATTTGGATGTAAACAGCAGTGAGAGTATTGTTATACAAGGGATGGAGAGTGACACTATCAACGTTAAGGCTAAGTCATGTACCTTCATTAGTACCAAGGTAACATTGGAATGATACTTTCCTTAATGATAAAAAATATAGATTTATTCATAGGATAAAAATCTGTTTCGCAAGATTTCAGTTTTGGTTCTGAAGAATTATATATATGGTCTACTTGAAAACGATAAGATCCAGCCTAGCACTTTGATTGGTGATTTATCTGTGCACCAGTAAGTGGGATCTGATTCCAAAGTGACACTGTATAGAGAATTCACTAGATTCACTTCTGGCCTTGGTTGCTGCATGCTACTAAGCCTTAGCCCTCGGTTTGGCCTGTTGGTAAGCAGCTGTTCCCTTCCTGTTACTTGTCTCCAGACACACCTGCTTGAAGTGGTGGTTTCCCAGTAGCCCATGTTGATGCTGCAATTCTGGAGCGACTTTTTCAGGGTGTCTTTGAAGCGAAGCGTTGGTCTTCCTCTTAGTCTGTGCCCTTCTGTTGTTTTGGCAGTCTATCATCAGACATGCGCACCAGGTGTCCTGCCAATCTCAACTGGGACAGTATTAACAAAGTATCAATGCCTTGCATCCTGACTTTTTGTAGCACTTCAACATTTGGTACTTTGTTGAACCATTTGATATTCATGATGCTGGAAGTATTAATTATACCATGAAATTTCATTATAACTTACATAAAAATAGGCCAGAAAATACACATCTCCATTAAAAGAAGTATTTATTTTGTTGAGCAAATATGATTTGATTTTTTATTAGAATGACCTTTATTATTATTTACATACAAAAATAATGTAAAACAAGTATCCTGAAATTATGTCTGTTCAGTACATACACCAGTTATCTGGTATATAAGAGATAGTGGTCTGTTAGTTCATGCCAAATAAATTGAAGTTTTTGCTTTCATATATTTCATCACTGCAGTGCTATTTTTTTAAAAGAAGAATGATTGATTTCTGATTCAGAGTGGCTCCATTTCTGCTACATGTAGTGAAGGTGATCTTGTTTGTCAGAATCTTCTCCAAGGCAATCTTAATCTCCAGGTTAAAGGAAATTCGGTACGTTTCAAATTAAGTAACATGACAGAAAACTGCTCCTGCATTTCTTTATTTATGCATTCATTTCATTAAACAATCGACTTTATTTTCTGTGAAATTCCATTCATTTCATCCATAAATTTGTCTTAATGTGATTTTGAGTAGCCAGTATGACATATTGTAATATTTGAAGTTCAGTCAAATAGTAGTACCATACAGCTCGCATGCTTTTCTACATCACAGTATAGTGATGAAGAAACAACTCAGTAAATATTGTTTATTTATACTTACAGAACATACTCACAGATAGACTTCAGGGAACAGAAATTACATGTAGCACAGATAACGGTAACATCACATGTTCTTCTGTATACTCCAGTAAGGCAGGATTCACCAGTCAGAATGGAAACATTAAGCTGACCAATTGTCATGCTGATACACATGTCACAGTTCCTGAGGGAAACTTGACAATAGGTTTGTATTCTATTGAGATTTCAAACAAAGCCTGTAATCGGGTAAATTCATAGTCACGAAGTTGAAGCATTCAAGCAGGAAGGTGTTCTTTGTTATATTGCCTTTTATTTCAACTGATGATCATTTTTACAGATTCGTTTGAGGGGAATTTGAATGCTGACGTTCAGAAAGGATCAACAGATATCTTTATAACAAGACCTGAGCAAGTAAAAGTTAAATCAGAAACAGGTAATCTATTCCGTCTTAGCCAGTCAATGAACTCTACTCTAATTAAGGTCTTACAATGAGTTCTGCCTCACTCAGGTTAGAAGTTATAAAGGGTCTAGAAAATCAAATAACAGCTCCAGCAGCCAGAAAGAAAACAAAATAACAAAGAAAATCCCAACCAAAAACTTATAGAGAAAATATAATCAGAACATTCTACCCAATTGCTACATATTTTCTGTTATCATCCAGAGTGGTGTCTATATTAGAAAGGTGTCTAACATCTTCAGTGGTGTCTACATTAGAAAGGTGTCTTAACATCTTCAGTGGTGTCTACATTAGAAAGGTGTCTATCATCTACAGTGGTGTATACATTAGAGAGGTGTCTTAACATCTTCAGTGGTGTCTACATTAGAAAGGTGTCTATCATCTAGAGTTTTGTCCACATTAGAAAGGTGTCTAACATCTTCAGTGGTGTCTACATTAGAAAGGTGTCTTAACATCTTCAGTGGTGTCTACATTAGAAAGGTGTCTATCATCTAGAGTTTTGTCCACATTAGAAAGGTGTCTAACATCTTCAGTGGTGTCTACATTAGAAAGGTGTCTTAACATCTTCAGTGGTGTATACATTAGAAAGGTGTCTATCATCTAGAGTTTTGTCCACATTAGAAAGGTGTCTAACATCTTCAGTGGTGTCTACATTAGAAATGTGTCTAACATCTGCAGTGGTGTCTACATTAGAAATGTGTCTAACATCTTCAGTGGTGTCTACATTAGAAATGTGTCTTAACATCTACATTGGTGTCTACATTAGAAAAGTGTTTAACATCTACAGTGGTGTCTACATTAGAAAGATGTCTAACATCTACAGTGATGTCTACATTAGAAAAGTGTTTAACATCTACAGTGATGTTCACATTAGAAAGGTGTCTTATATCTACAGTGGTGTCTACATTAGAAAGATGTCTAACATCTACAGTGGTGTCTACATTATAAATGTGTCTTAACATCTTCAGTGGTGTCTACATTAGAAAGGTGTCTTACATCTACAGTGGTGTCTACATTAGAAATGTGTCTTAACATCTACAGTGGTGTATACATTAGAGAGGTGTCTAACATCTTCAGTGGTGTCTACATTAGAAAGGTGTCTTACATCTTCAGTGGTGTTTACATTAGAAAGGTGTCTTACATCTACAGTGGTGTCTACATTAGAAATGTGTCTTAACATCTACAGTGGTGTATACATTAGAGAGGTGTCTAACATCTTCAGTGGTGTCTACATTAGAGAGGTGTCTAACATCTTCAGTGGTGTCTACATTAGAAAGGTGTCTTACATCTTTAGTGGTGTCTACATTAGAAAGTTGAAAGATATATTATGTAGATTTTGTGTACTGTTTCTCAGTATTGGTCTCTGATGTCATACTAATGAAGTTAACACTTCTGTTTCAGGTGATATCAGTTTACGGGTAGACAAGACCATCAACTCTGAATTTGAGCTACATGGTAAAACAGTAACTGTTGATGACACACTAGAATTCCGTGAGGAGAGCTCAACTGCTTGTGATAATAAGAATTCAGTAAAAGGTAAGTTACATACACAGGAACACGCCAAAATCAGGCAACACTCCTATTAATCACTTTCAGGTATATTATGATGCTTTAACAAAAGAAAGTATGATTTTCACTCCACATCACTACAACACCAAGAAGTACAAAAAAAGAAAAGACATGATCAGGATCCCCAACACTGTCCTGTCTGTAATCCCTGGAGGAATAAGAGTAATAGCCCTTGGTTCCTATAAATTTTATAATAATGAATTGTCCACATGTATATATCTAAATCTTTTCCTAGAGTCAGATGTGGATTGTTGTAATTAAGCATTTCATTCTTTATATTGACAGTTTATTCCTGTAGAAATACACGTTTCAATAGTAAGATTTTTGTTTTCTATTCACAGGCTGTATGAATGGAAGCCAGGCCATGATCTCTGTGGAAACCTCAGAAGGATGTGTAAATGTAAAACAACATGACTGGTTCCAGTCTCTTAATCTCAAGTTTCAGTCTGGATAATTAATTACATTGTCCAACAACATTAAATTATTTCCAATCAGAAAGAAGAGTTTTTTTTTATCTGTTTTTAAGGCATGCATCACAGGACAGATAGAGAAGTGATTTTTATTCCTAAGGCGGGAGAGAAGTTAGAATATTAGGATGATTTGGTAAATTATTTGGTACATTTTACATTGTGTATGCAGCTGTTGTGTTTGCATAAATGAACTAGGTGTCTACATCAGTATATGTAACTAAATTATGATTTGACTAGGAGTATTTTTACTTTGAATTGTGCCTCATTGTTTGCGACATTAAGGATTTTAGTTTGCCTCTACTACAAATAATTGGGAATAGTATATAAATTAATCTATCCCACTTCAAGCGTCAAAATAATATTTCAGGATCACAGCAGTTAAATATGTTAAAATCATCTAACATCTTCCTCTAAAAAACCAACAGACTCAGGACCTAGATACTTAACAGCTTCCATGCAAAACCTGGAATGAAGGATTAATTTCTTTGAATGAATGACCTGTATATACTTTCAATCGAGGTCAAAAGTGTTAAGATTATCCAATATCTTCTGAATAATCAAAAGCCCAAGTTCATGATGTATGGCCATAGTATGCTGGCATGCTGGGTTATCAAGTTCTACAGTCAAGTGAAACTGGCCTACTTTTTGGTCAAAGGAATAATGTGTTAAAATCTTCAAACTACATTATGTACTTCTCAATAATCAAGAGACCCATGGTCATAATATTTTGCCACAAATACATGTATGATTGGGTGAAGATAGAAGGGCCATCATCATTGTCCCATGAATTACATTGACCTACATTCAAGGTTATAGGAGTTAAATGTATAAAAATCTTCAATCTACTACTACTTTGTTTTCAGATCCTTCATATTCAGTGTATAACATCACCAATCTCACTGTCATCGGTTTTCAAACCTGGGAAAAAACACTGTAAAGTTAACCTGTGTATCCCGATATGAGTTTGAATTGTAACAAGAATATCAACACATGAAATCTTGACAAAATAATATTTTAATCGTAGAACAACACAAGAATAGATAACAGTACACTAATTAATATAACAACTGATTCGTGTTTTGTCTCCTCAGTCGTGTCATGCTTTGATCCTAGTACATAATAGTACAACTTTTCATTGTAACAAAACTATCACTTTCATTGGTAAATCAATTGCCACCAAATTGTATTGATACAGTTAGGGTAATGTTCAAACAATATCAATGGATGCTAATGTGTCAACACTGCTTCTCTTAAAGGAACTAAATGGTGAAATTTCATTATTTTTCCATGCATTTCATTTCGAGCAAGTATCGTAATACTTAAAATTAGACTCTTTCACAAAATTATGACGTTCTCTGTGAGAAATTGATCAAGATTATCAGATTTAAAGTAATGCTAGTCAACACTTGATGCTGTGTCTACTACCCATCACTGTTTTAATCGGAGATAGCCAAGGTCATCACCTGACCTTTCAGAACCTCATTTAAACCTGCCATTTTTATATGATTTCTCACTATATATAATTATGTAATTAGCCAAAACTTAATCTGCCATCCATGTTTTGATTCTTACTTTGTAAAATGGCCTCTTGTTTCATGCTATACGTGTGACAGAGCGAAATAAATGAATTTGAATTAATCTGAGTCTAAAATTGCATGCGCAAAGATATTGTTTACATTCTACAAACAATAATGATATGAATAAGTGTTGAGTTGCTTCTATTTTATTTCAATTTTTAGGCATTGTTAATAAAACCGTTACGCAAACTTTGAAATATTATAATTGCCAGAAAGTACACAATCTTTAACAGATATTAAAATGTGATAATGCTTTTTATCAGTTATGAAATAAATATCTAACCATTTAGTCCCTTTAACTATTTCTATGCTGACAATTAAACGTTTTCCTGATCTCTATGAAATGGCTAATAGCCCTTTAACATCTACCATCATCATCATCATCGTCGTCGTCATCATCCTTAATGGTTATACATGCAGAGACATCTGGTATGGATACAGAAATACAGACATTTCTGCTGAAACATGGTGGGAATATTCAATTGAAATGAAGCCCAAGTTTCTGTTTCATGACAGAGCTTTCTGGGTTAGCTTAAGATATCCCGAAATGGCTTTTCAGATTCTGTACTGATTCCTTGCATCTCCCGGAGTCCCTGAAAATAAAAGTTGTCGACTTAGATTAAAGCAGTAAGACCCCAATGTTACCATAAATGAAACCTGACAAATATAAATCTGATGACATTATTTTATGAGCATAGTGCTGCATTAAATTTCCTTATAACTACAGTTTATAACTTTACTATCTGATGTTTGCCTTGAAGACATGGGAGCAGTTTAATTCTCCTAGTGGGAAATCCAACACATTGTACATGGGATTTCAATCTTGCAATACATAGAGGATCATCACAACACAGGACACCAAAAAGATATTACGTCACAGTAGGAACCTTCAATCAATCATAGCTCTGCTAGGTTATATTACAGGTAATAGGTTTTATTACACCAATGATGGGGCATTATGCTATGAATTCAATGTATGTTCAATATTGTAGAGAGTATGGAGAGTAGCTGACCATTTGGTTACTAAAAAGTAAACTCCCTAAGATATATCCATTTGTCATACCACAAACAACAGAGAAATTGCTTACTTCAAGGACAAGTTTAATGTGAGCTTTCACTTTGGCAATATCTTTGCTGATCTTTTCACATTGATCATTTAGCCTGGCTGTCTTTTTATCAATAAACCTGAGAGCTTCTTCCATCTTGAATTCCACAAAAAATCCAAAACCCACACAGACATATATTCTGGAAGCATCTGGTCTGAAATAACAAGACAAAATCAAAATTAATCATGGCACCAGAGACACTGATAGTACATTTCTGAGATAGCTGTATATTATTGTAGAACTTTCCTACTAATGAACTATCAACAGTCAATATGTGAGTTGAATAATTTGTTCAAAATTGTGTTCAGTTAGATATAGGTAAGATTTTTAATAATAATTTAGATGCCAGAATGAGACCAGCTGAATTAATGACATTAATCGACCATTGTCCAGTTAATAACACTGACTGTGTGTTGTAGATTTTAAATCATAATTTAATTTCAAATTACCTAATTACTTACACATTTGCTTGTACATAAAAGTTGCATCCAATATCAACTTTTGTCTTTAGCTCTTCTTTTGTATAATCTGTACTCTGAAGAATGAAGATAAAAAGAGGTCAGTTACACCAACAATTCTTTATTTTCTCGTAGTGATTCATTAATGATAGGTAAAATCACAAATGCACAATATTTATAAATAGTCCAATGAAATATATTTAAGAGTTCAAAATTCAGGGCAGTTTATCCAGGTAGGTAAAGCAAAGCAGATATACAATGCCTTACAAAAAGGAATACAGAGGTATTGCAACCATTCACTGTGACATTAACCATAACAAAGGGTCATTGTATCTATAGGTACAAGTTTGGCAATATCCCATTTGATATGTTTAAAGAAATCAAAATGACTGCAGAAGTTTCATTGTCAGCTGTTGTAAAAATGAAAACCCTGTTACAAATTAATTTATTGTAAACTGTAAATTACCTGAACTCTTTCTATAACTGTCTTCAACTGCAAATATTCTGCAACCTGTCCATAAAGTTTATCTTGTTCCTCCAAAAGTTTTCTGTAGATGTCAAATGATACAAACTTGCATAAAATACATAAACAATTTTTCATCAAATGCAACATATTTCTATCAAATAAGAAAATGTTGTATAACAATGGGGATTGTGGAACACAATACCCCTATTATTCTGAAGCATGTATTCCCTAAACCATATAACATGAACTAAAATCTACTCCTAAATACAATACCCTAATGGCAATAACTAAGCTGGTATTGCGTAGGGTATTATTGTAGAATTAGATACATTTGTAAGAAAGATCATTAGATCGGTGAAAAGTGAGAGTATGTTGTATTCAAAGTTCGCCGTCTGAAACTATGTAGCATTCATATAACATTCAATAGAAATCAGCTTGTACACGGCCATGCATCCCTTCAACTAAACGAGACGAACTCAATGCTTGGATCAGTTCCCTCATTACCCACGGTACCTGTATATATAACTCAATGCTTGGATCAGTTCCCTCTGTACCCACGGTACCTGTATATATAACTCAATGCTTGGATCAGTTCCCTCATTACCCACGGTACATGTATATATAACTCAATGCATGGATCAGTTCCCTCTGTACCCACGGTACCTGTATATATAACTCAATCCTTGGATCAGTTCCCTCATTACCCACGGTACATGTATAGATAACTCAATGCTTGGATCAGTTCCCTCTGTACCCACGGTACCTGTATATATAACTCAATGCTTGGATCAGTTCCCTCATTACCCACGGTACATGTATATATAACTCAATGCTTGGATCAGTTCCCTCTGTACCCACGGTACCTGTATATATAACTCAATCCTTGGATCAGTTCCCTCATGACCCACGGTACATGTATATATAACTCAATGCATGGAACAGTTCTCTCAGTACCCACGGTACTTGTATATATAACTCAATGCATGGATCAGTTACCTCAGTACCCACGGTACCTGTATATATAACTCAATGCTTGGAACAGTTCCCTCAGTACCCACGGTACCTGTTTATATAACAATGCATGGATCAGTTCCCTCAGACTCAGTACCCACGATATCTGTATATATAACTCAATGCATGGAACAGTTCCCTCAGTACCCACGGTACCTGTATATTGCGGTTATTTGATTTTGACATACGTTACTCTTGAATCAACATAAAGAAACAATTTCTTTAGATCATATACAGAGCTGTTTGTCCATATTACCTCAAATCCTCTCTTAGTGTTTCGTTTAGAAAGGTTTCATAGGCTAATACTTTCTCCGGAACGGTGTTGCTCATGTTTTCCGTTCTGCTTATTAGCACATACGCACTAGTTCCGGTATAACTTTTGCGACATTGAATATGCTTTAACTTTATATAAAAGATCAATTTCATTGTATTATAATTAAACTATCTTGTCACACATGTCATTTTAAAGCTCTTACTACTAACCTGTTATTTTTGTAATTACATTTTAGATGTCGTTACAGATTTCCTATAGCCACTTTCCGGTTAAGCCGCAGCGATGGCAGAACTATTGCTCGATTCCAACATTAGATTTTGGGTTTTCCTACCTATAGTAGTGATCACCTTCTTAACTGGAATAATCAGACACTATGTAACAATACTTTTATCATCAGAGAAAAAGACAGAGTTACAACAAGTATCCGATAGGTAAACATACTTCTGTACTTTAATCTGTTGATTTCAGGCCTGTGCATAATTGAAAAATACAGCATGCCCATCCACTGTATGTGTTATTCAGCAAGGATCAGTTGAAACAATAATAGATTAATATTGACCTAAACCTAATTATTTTATTTTCTTGTATGGAAATGTGTTTTTGTCTTACCAGAAACAGCGTAAATTGGAATATGATATGATAGATATTAGTTCATGTTTCATTGCATACATGTAGGAATAATGTGGTTTTAGGTGCAATTAAAAATTGTTTCATTGTCATAGACTGGAAATCCAGTAATCCCATATGACATGTGATGTTGTTATTATTGTTGCATAATCAAAATGTGCTCAGAAATGACATTGAATTTCATATATAATTGCAAACATATAGTATTCTGTATAATTGTCAAATATTCATGGTGTAAAATATGAATTTCATTCAACTGACAGCATGCATATGTTTCTGTGACTTGGGTAGAGCCAACACTGTGGTCTATCATCTTGCTTGAGACTGTTTCAACTCGTTACGGCTGATCAACAGGAATGTCTTTTCAATGCTCAGTTATATTATTAACTCTTGAACACAACAGATACATTAGTTGAGTTCTGCTGTAAATGTATATTCCTTTTTCCTTCAGTAAATTTAATGACCCAAAATTATCTTATACAGGCATTGATGCCATAAATCAAATTATATAAAATTGGCAGCCAAAAAAATAAGTGATGCAGCAACTCAAGACCAAGCATCTCCAAAGTAATATCAATTGAAATAAAATGGATTTTTGGTCACCTAAGGAAACCAAGTGGACTTCCAATATTGAGCAATCTGTTCACAAGATAAAACAGTCATTATATATTTCTTATATCCTCCATACTCCAGGTGTTCTCACTGTCTCTCTTTGCCCCCTAGAACATTTCCTGGCAAAATAGAAGGCACAAATGAAGTAATTTGATTAGTCTAGAGGGGGTTTCTTGAGATAAAAAAGTTATCAATTACAGACTGATACACTCTTTTGATTATACTATGAAGGAGTGACACCAAACTTCAAAGCTAGTACATCATACCATTATGTGACTGAAGATTTTTTTGATGTACGTCCAAGGACCAAATTAGTTTTCCCTCTTATCCACAAAGTGTCACACTGGAAACCATTTATTTTGCCTTAAATGTACATGTTCCAAATGTGCAGAGAGTGATTGTGAGTGTAACCCCTGGAGTATGTATTTCTTCATATTTTTCTTTTTAATATCTTTGCAGTCATGCACTCATCCGCAGCAGGATGTTGAGAGAAAATGGGAAATACATTCCAAAACAGGTAAGTACAATATGTCCACTCATAACATTTGAACTTATGTAAGTCATAGTTACGTGTTTTGTTGATGTTGCATGTTATCCGAATTTCATCTGTACTCTTTCTGAGATAAATTGTTCATTTTTGATTATTACAGAGTTTTTTGATGCGCAAACATTTTTTCAATCATGAAAATGATGGATTTTTCAAAAAGGAGAAACGTGAAGGTGTTGCAAAGAATCCAATGACAGGTGGGTGTTGGTTATGTGAGCGATATACATATAGGCCTTATGGCCATTTTCATTGATTAAAAATTCCCTGTTCTTATTGGTAATATTCTTTGCTAAAATCTACTTTGTGTAAATGTCAAACAGTTAAGTTTACCAAGGTTCAACAAAACTAGCTACTTCTACAAACATCAGAGCGATGGTCCTCGGAAGGAGTTTGTATTTGGTTTAATATTCTTTCTTAATCGAATTATAAATTCACATAATTTACACCGTTTTCCATAAAATCAATTAAATTCCTTCTTTTTGAATATAATACAATTTTGCAGTTTTAAAGAGAAAGGGAAAGTGATTGTATTTTCCTCTGAAGAAACTAATCAAAATTTTGAATGATTTATATGTTGCAGATCCTAACATGATGACAGACATGTTGAAAGGCAACGTTACTAATGTCTTACCTATGATAGTCATAGGAGGATGGATCAACTGGGCTTTCTCAGGCTTTTTAACAAGTATGTGGTGATCTAAAATCATATGTGGTGTACATCCGTAAAAACCCAAGCATTGTGCATATTTTTTCTATAGAAATTAAAGGTTCAAAGTAGGGGCTGTGCACATGATATAGCTATTGGGCTCTTTTTTTCATGGAAAGATCAAAGATTCTGTGAGGCCACCATCATCGAGTGTCATGATTATCTGACATGCAAAACTGTTTGTGTGTACATAGTTTATCACTTCCATCAAAAATGATTAACTTTATAGTCCCACTAAAATGCTCTTCTGTTTTTTTACAGCAAAAGTACCATTTCCATTGACTCTTAGATTCAAGCCAATGTTGCAGAGAGGGATAGAATTGCAGTCATTAGATGCATCATGGTGAGTATATGAAATGCCTTTACATCTTCAGGTCTGCCATTAATGTAAAAAAATAAATGAAACAGTTGCTGTCTTTTATATGGAGAGTTATGTCCCTTCGTTAACCATTTGCAGCTTAATCTTACCCCACGTTTGATAACAATGACACTCAAGATTGCCAGTATCATTTATAATAATAGGTATCATGAACAGAAATAATTTAAGGTCATAGTGCCTTAAGATGGATTTTATACATAGTTATTGCCCTTTGTTCACAGTTAGAACACATGCATAAGTATATGTGGAGTGATAACACTTGTGCATGAGAGTATCATTTAAATAAGGTCACCAGGGTGTGGTCTAGAGCACTATTCCTTTATCATTTCATCTACATTCACCAATATGCCATACATTTTACTATGGCACAGTTTAAGTTCTATCTAAATACTTGAATATAAAGAGAATCTATTTTGATAACTTATACAACTGTGCATGACAATTATTAATAATATGGCCTATTTTACCTGTAAAAACCTCTGGACAGTCAGGATTTCATAAACACCATTTAATGCAATTATCTTGCCTTTGATACCTATTCTATTGTAATGTTTCATGTTAACAAATGATCACATTTGTACATATTTTATTTATTTAAAAACATTTTTCTTTGCAGGGTTAGTTCAGCATCTTGGTATTTCCTTAATGTTTTTGGTCTGCGAAGTATGTATACTCTGATACTAGGACAAGACAATGGTACGTGTAGCAGTTTGTTGCTGATGATATCTAGATGGCTATAGGATCAATATATACATGCTTAAATTGCTATGTAAAATGCTGTATATTTCATCTTTATAATCAGAAACATATGTAATGTAAAAATAATTCACTATTGTTAAGAATTAATGCTGTGAATTTAACTGTAGTTCATGGTAGCAGCTTTTGTGATCCGTGCAGTAAAATATAAATCCCAAGTATTATTGAAGTACTGCATAAACAATTTGTAGACAAACAAAATTATCGAATATATTTTAAGTTCTAAATTTATATTTCACTTTATATGGTGACCGAAGAAAATCAGTTAAATAATTTTTGCATACATTTGTGCAAACAGCGAAACAGGTATCACACATTTAAAGAGAATTTAATTTCCATTTTAATTTACTTGTTGAAACAGCTGCTGATCAAACAAAGGCAATGCAGGAACAGATGTCAGGGGCGGGGATGATGACCCCACAGGACCCCATGAAAGCCTTCAAATCTGAGTGGGAGTCGCTGGAGGTGAGCACACACAACTGGTGTTTGGCTGGTGTAGAAGAGGAACTCATTGATGGACATATACAACCAGAGACAATTTACATCAAAAACAAATACTCCTAGTTAGAATATTGATGAATGATCTCATTTGTTTCCCTTCTGATGTTGACCCACATTTCCATTCCTCTTCAGTGATATTTAAACCTGATATCAACTCACATAATTCCATTTTGGTATGGTGACATTTTGTAAGTTTCAAATGTGTTGAATTTCAAACAGAAAATGTAGCTTTACACACAATTATGTGTATTATGTTAACATGTACACAGGTCAGGTGAGCTGTTAATATGTACACAGGTCAGGTGAGCTGTTAACACGTACACAGGTCAGGTGAGCTGTTATAATGTATACAGGTCAGGTGAGCTGTTATAATGTACACAGGTCAAGTAAGCTGTTCACATGTACACAGGTCAGGTGAGCTGTTTCTGAAGAAAAAAACAGTTTTTTTACCTGCTTTTATGTTATGATTGAAAAAATTAACAATTAAAGTATTAATTGCAACATCAGCTTTCCAAGATGAAATATATGGGGAAAGAAAATATTTTACATCAACATCAGTTTCTATGGAATTTCGAATTGTAGTGAATACCTTTAGAAGATCAAAGTTGATTGTTGCTTTGTAAGAGGTAGCGTTTAATGTCATGTCACTGTATTTCAAGGAATAAGGGAGATAATTACCAAACTCATGGAAAATTTACCAGTATCTTAACACTGGCTTCTGGTCCTAGAACATATACACAGGAACAGAACTTATCTTGAAAATCAATATGTACAAAATTCAGTGATATTCCTATATAGTTAATGAAATAACAAAGCTTGAGTAAAAAAAAAACACCATTAGATCTGTAATGTTCTGCATTTTATGTCCTCCCCTTTGTGTATTTTTATTTATTTATGAGAATGAACACCTAAAAATAGAAATTGATCATGTGCGTCTTAATGAAGAGTTCAAGAGGTTTTTGTCATAACATAATTGTAATTATCAACCAGACATCCATTTATTACATTTCCTTATATATACCCATTTGAGGAAGTCCTTTTATAAATTAAATAATTGAAATAACTACTGCACAATTCAGTATTGTAGTAATAAATAAATATCTTAAACAGTGTTTCTCTTTATTTCATTGTTCAGTTTACCAATACCTGTCGTTTAAGTACATTTATTGATTTCAGATGATTTTACTACACTTTTAACAATAGCATTGGTTCCTGCAAAATTGAACTTCACATCAACATTACTAATCAGTTCACACCTGGTCCAATCTGATTAAAATACAGATTATTATTACACTAAACCATAATACGTGTATAATGATGCTCTGTAATCTGATTGCAACAGTGACACTGAGAAATGAATCACTTTAAAAAAAGTCCTTATGTGGATGTTGACAGTCAAACTTTACATATATAGGGATGTGTTTGATGAATCTGAGAATATTGCACGATTTCATTCTTATTGAACTGTGATACAGACTAACTCGCACATCTTTGAATCTGACTGAGATCATAAGAAGAAATAGTTTCATATGCATATGACACAATTAACTTAAAGGTTCACTTTTCCATAGATGGCTCTAAAATGGAAATGGGTTATCAGGTAATTACCCAAGTTTATCAGAAATATTTCAAATATTAATGAGGTTAATGTTTAAAAATCCTTCTTGGTACTCATATCATTAAATATTCGCTTCAGGCATTTGTATTTTTTGAAACACATTAAATTCCCAACATAATATTATAACATAAAAAGAACTTTATTTTTAGTAAACAATAAGTTTAAACAAAACTTTCAAACAATTTTTATACATGGATTTTGCATTACGTTATATTCAGTACATTTTCATGTACCTCAATTCCTGGTTGCTGGGGAGAAAGGAATGTGTTTTATCCTTTCTACAACACTAAACCACCTCAGACAATTGCAGGTACAAATCTATGAAATAGTATATATTTTAGATCAAACAGTTTAAACCAAATATGCTGACCAATCAAAGTGTTCCTTGACTATGACACCAGCATTTAACATGTATTCCACTGCCATATCTACAGGTGATGTCAAGCCTTCTGTAGAGTTTACACAGAGTTCGCAGTTCCTGGTTTCTCCCGTCTGCATGTAAATCTGCATACAGGCTTTACATCTCTTAATATAGTTACTGTCTCTTGCTCCACATAGACTTAAGTCCACAATAAACTGGACAGGGGCATGTTTAAAGTTTCGAACCAACGCTGAGGAAGAAACTCGTACACAACTGGTGGTTGTACACCCTCCAAGGACAACAGCATCAACTTGTCTCTCCAACATACTTTCTACCCAGTTCTCTGCCCCATCTGCCTCCATGATATTGGTGCCATATTTATATACAACAGGATAATTCCTCTCTTTAAATATTTTCTTCACACTGGTGTGGAATGCTCTGTCCTTTGGATTGATGAAGGGACACTGAGTCAAAAGAACAGGAATAGTAGGTGACAAGGATTGAATCAGTTTCTCACACTTCCCAAAGCTCTCTCTAATCCGCTCCACAGCCATTCCCATTGACCAGGAGCCAGAAACAAATGCCTGCTGGACATCTATCAGAATGACCGCTAACTTGTCTATAGGTTTACATGAGTTCATTTCTCTATACACTTGCAGATCTTCTAAGAGGTTTCTGAAAAATGTAACATTAGAATTAGCATTTTGTTAAATCATTGACAAATATACAGGAGACACAGATCTACAAATCATCGGTAGACATAATTTTGTATGTGTTCTGCCCAAGGTGGCAACACATTTAGTTTAAAATAATATTTTATTGAAGGCTTAAACAATAACAAACATACCATATTCAACCCGTTAACCGCCCATGTTCCAGTAAGCACCCCTCTTTCCATTTGTAGGCTCCTAACACAACATTATGGCTAGGTTTTATACTCACTATTATGAGCAATCTGGGAGTTTTCGTGTCTGGTCCCCCAGCAATAGAAGAATACTAACTGGTCACCAGTAGTTAACACCTTTACAACAATGGATTAACATTGATTATAACTAGTCAGGACTATCACTGGACATGGTCTTACTGCCAGATAAATACTGTAATAAACATTGATATTCCAGGTGTTTCCTAAGATTTATGAAATAACCATATAGTTTTACTAAGTATAGATCTGGCAAGGTAAAATAGAAATTTCATATAAAATGGAAACCATTAAATGTAAGATTCTGTTTATCACATGACTTAGATGATTTCACAATAAAGTACATTTGATTCAACTGAAAGAAAATATAATTTCGCAGTATTCTCATTAATATCTGTGATGTGATAATGCAACAACTATTGAAATCATGGGCTACATCAGTCACCCATATCATAGCTCCAAAAGGTGTCATTACATGTGTTTATTATAAAATTTATAAAATATCAGTAATTACACTGATAACAAGCCAGGTATGTGATACAAATATGTATAGTAGTGTCAACACTTTAGCTGAAGTTTTTAAGGATCATCACTGTGAGACTATAAGAAAGCCATGATAATGTTTGTAAGGATCTTCTATATATCTGTTCCCATGTGTGGTCGTGTGATCAGGTGGCACAGGGTAAACGTATTGGCCATTTCTATACATCCATGGTTTGATGAGAAAAGGTTATCTGGGTGTCTCCAACCCAACCATGTGGGATTTCAGGTACTCGCAGTACGCTTACGATCCCTCCCACGCTTCCATCCGGACCAACAAACGTGAATAGTACCATGTAATAACTGATAGTCGGTTCGCAAATGGTGACTGATATTGATATTTTAAATTAGTAATTTCGCATTTCCGTATCATCTTCTATAGAATAATGAAGTTAAAAGAATTTCATCGTTTCCCTTCTCTCCCTTCCTTTTCTTTTCAATTAAATTGTATACTTCTGGGGGGGTCAGTACATGGTCAGTCCTTGAATGCTGAGTAACCGGTTCTAAATAACGATACATGTAACAGTAAATGTACCGAGGAATGCATGTAATCAATACATGCGCGTATCTTTTTAATTGCACAGTATGGCATCACTGCTGGGCATGGATTTGCAACAATTAGTAAACTTACTTACTGTTTGTCCAGAATTGCGGAAGTAGAATTGTAGCGATCGAGGACGTGCTCAAGTCCTCAATTTACAAATGCGGGAAATTTTGAATATCTACGTCTAAGTCCGGTTTACAAGTAACTTTTCGTTTTACATCTTTGGAGTCGAGTCGGTCGTAATTAATCCATTAATTATAAAAAAATATTAATGAATTGGATGAAATAATAAAATGCGGATGGATAACCAGAACACTTCCTTCTTGTAATATTTATGTGGACCGCTGGCTTCGTCATCACAAACGTACCGTGATTTTGATTTCACTGTAAAACTCAGCTGAGTGCGAACTTCAGGTTTGACCGAGATTTGAGAAAACGTTTGTGTTACCGAAGCCTGGGACACTGATCATGAACTTATTAGATTTAGCAAGGAATCCAGGACTATACAAGAAATTAATCTATAAAAAATAAAACGAAACTCGTTAATTTGTTTATACTTGAAAATTGCCGAAGACAATTAAAATATTAGGCATTCAAATGCCGTGGTGTTAGAAATTCATATCATAATGGCGGTCTTAGAATATATTCCAAGACCGTGCCAAAATGATTAGAATATATTTTGTAATGAGGTATTCAAGTGTCGTGTGTATGAGCAGGGACGTATATAACATATCTGTGTTATAATTCCCTGGTATGAGGAATTTATATGATGGATAGAGAATATAAGTCACAACAAACTAGACATATAGGTGTTGTTTCGATGACTACCGCCTCACCGATGACATCGCTGACGAGTGTAGCAGATGACAATTAATCATCATATGTACACTTAGCCGGAAAGGGTGTACTTTAAATCTACTTATTACTCAACCAAACTTTATTTGCTATTAGCAGATGGAAAGTGTCATTTTTGTCCTGGCTGATGTCCTCGTAGGAATTCTCTCATTCGTTTTATAAACTTGGCAGTAGCCTACTTTCTCGCCCAATCTGTCCATGGAAGAAATGGACGATTCAGCTCCTAGGCAATAAAAAAACCTCGATTATCAAAATGTTTCTCTAAAATCTTGGTGAAATGAAAGTGTAACGTGTAATGATAGCTACTTATCGACCAACAAGAAAACAACAAATCAAACAGGAAATTTTGACAATTAGATGAACGTACATGTATGATGGATGGGTTTTTCTAAAACTCAATGGTTAGGTCCTTCTAAATCACGAGTGGTGACTAATAAAATTTTCCGGCTGATTAAAACAATAGAATGACCAAAAGACGTCCATTTTTTATTATTGAAAATGATTCAACATTTTTTTCGCTAATTACCCGGCATACCTTTATGGCATCCAAACTCATAGCCAAGTATCTAATAAATCAATCCGTAAAAACTCACCTGTTTGGCACTATCCCCCTTAAGTTTAACAATTTCTATAGATACACTGAAGTGTACACGTTTGTCGTATTGATAATGTTATTGTATAACTAATTTACTTGTCAATACACAACGTCATTAAGAGCAAATAAACGGAAAAAAGGTAGAGAACTTGTAAGAACCATTACGATGAACATCTATCTACTAGGTTCTCTTGATCTACCATATGATGACAGGGGTCCCTCTACTAGGTTCTCTTGATCTACCATATGATGACAGGAGACTCTACCAGGTTCTCTTGATCTACCATATGATGACAGAGATCCCTCTACTAGGTTCTCTTGATCTACCATATAATGACAGGGGACTCTCTACTAGGTTCTCTTGATCTACCATATGATGGCTTGATCTACCATATGATGGCAGAGATCCCTGTACTAGGTTCTCTTGATCTACCATATGATGACAGGGGACTCTCTACTAGGTTCTCTTGATCTACCATATGATGACAGGAGACTCTACTAGGTTCTCTTGATCTACCATATGATGACAGGGGACTCTCTACCAGGTTCTCTTGATCTACCATATGATGACAGGGGTCTCTCTACTAGGTTCTCTTGATCTACCATATGATGACAGGAGGTTCTCTTGATCTACCATATGATGACAGGGGACTCTCTACCAGGTTCTCTTGATCTACCATATGATGACAGGGGACTCTCTACCAGGTTCTCTTGATCTACCATATGATGACAGGGGACTCTCTACCAGGTTCTCTTGATCTACCATATGATGACAGGGGTCTCTCTACTAGGTTCTCTTGATCTACCATATGATGACAGGGGTCTCTCTACTAGGTTCTCTTGATCTACCATATGATGGCAGGGGACTCTCTACTAGGTTCTCTTGATCTACCATATGATGACAGAGATCCCTCTACTAGGTTCTCTTGATCTACCATATGATGACAGGGGTCTCTCTACTAGGTTCTCTTGATCTACCATATGATGACAGGGGTCTCTCTACTAGGTTCTCTTGATCTACCATATGATGACAGGGGACTCTCTACTAGGTTCTCTTGATCTACCATATGATGACAGGGGACCCTCTACTAGGTTCTCTTGATCTACCATATGATGACAGGGGACTCTCTACTAGGTTCTCTTGATCTACCATATGATGACAGGGGTCTCTCTACTAGGTTCTCTTGATCTACCATATGATGACAGGAGACTCTACTAGGTTCTCTTGATCTACCATATGATGACAGGAGACTCTACTAGGTTCTCTTGATCTACCATATGATGACAGGGGTCTCTCTACTAGGTTCTCTTGATCTACCATATGATGACAGGGGTCTCTCTACTAGGTTCTCTTGATCTACCATATGATGACAGGGGTCTCTCTACTAGGTTCTCTTGATCTACCATATGATGACAGAGATCCCTCTACTAGGTTCTCTTGATCTACCATATAATGACAGGGGACTCTCTACTAGGTTCTCTTGATCTACCATATGATGACAGATATCCCTCTACTAGGTTCTCTTGATCTACCATATGATGACAGGAGACTCTACCAGGTTCTCTTGATCTACCATACAATGACAGGGGACTCTCTACTAGGTTCTCTTGATCTACCATATGATGACAGTGGTCTCTCTACTAGGTTCTCTTGATCTACCATATGATGACAGAGATCCCTCTACTAGGTTCTCTTGATCTACCATATAATGACAGGGGACTCTCTACTAGGTTCTCTTGATCTACCATATGATGACAGGGGACCCTCTACTAGGTTCTCTTGATCTACCATATGATGGCAGAGATCCCTGTACTAGGTTCTCTTGATCTACCATATAATGACAGGGGACTCTCTACTAGGTTCTCTTGATCTACCATATGATGACAGGGGACTCTCTACTAGGTTCTCTTGATCTACCATATGATGACAGAGATCCCTCTACTAGGTTCTCTTGATCTACCATATGATGACAGAGATCCCTCTACTAGGTTCTCTTGATCTACCATATAATGACAGGGGACTCTCTACTAGGTTCTCTTGATCTACCATATGATGACAGATATCCCTCTACTAGGTTCTCTTGATCTACCATATGATGGCAGAGATCCCTGTACTAGGTTCTCTTGATCTACCATTTGATGGCAGAGATCCCTCTACTAGGTTCTCTTGATCTACCATATGATGACAGAGATCCCTCTACTAGGTTCTCTTGATCTACCATATGATGACAGAGATCCCTCTACTAGGTTCTCTTGATCTACCATATGATGACAGGGGTCTCTCTACTAGGTTCTCTTGATCTACCATATGATGACAGAGATCCCTCTACTAGGTTCTCTTGATCTACCATATGATGGACTCTCTACTAGGTTCTCTTGATCTACCATATCATGACAGAGATCCCTCTACTAGGTTCTCTTGATCTACCATATGATGACAGGAGACTCTACCAGGTTCTCTTGATCTACCATATGATGACAGAGATCCCTCTACTAGGTTCTCTTGATCTACCATATGATGACAGAGATCCCTGTACTAGGTTCTCTTGATCTACCATATGATGGCAGAGATCCCTCTACTAGGTTCTCTTGATCTACCATATGATGACAGAGATCCCTCTACTAGGTTCTCTTGATCTATCATATGATGGCAGAGATCCCTCTACTAGGTTCTCTTGATCTACCATATGATGGCAGAGATCCCTGTACTAGGTTCTCTTGATCTACCATTTGATGGCAGAGATCCCTCTACTAGGTTCTCTTGATCTACCATATGATGACAGAGATCCCTCTACTAGGTTCTCTTGATCTACCATATGATGACAGATATCCCTCTACTAGGTTCTCTTGATCTACCATATGATGGCAGAGATCCCTGTACTAGGTTCTCTTGATCTACCATGTGATGGCAGAGATCCCTCTACTAAGTTCTCTTGATCTACCATATGATGACAGAGATCCCTCTACTAGGTTCTCTTGATCTACCATATGATGACAGAGATCCCTCTACTAGGTTCTCTTGATCTACCATATAATGACAGGGGACTCTCTACTAGGTTCTCTTGATCTACCATATGATGACAGATATCCCTCTACTAGGTTCTCTTGATCTACCATTTGATGGCAGAGATCCCTGTACTAGGTTCTCTTGATCTACCATATGATGACAGAGATCCCTCTACTAGGTTCTCTTGATCTACCATATGATGGTAGACATCCCTCTACTAGGTTCTCTTGATCTACCATATGATGACAGAGATCCCTCTACTAGGTTCTCTTGATCTACCATATGATGGTAGACATCCCTCTACTAGGTTCTCTTGATCTACCATATGAGGACAGAGATCCCTCTACTAGGTTCTCTTGATCTACCATATGATGACAGGAGACTCTACCAGGTTCTCTTGATCTACCATATGATGACAGAGATCCCTCTACTAGGTTCTCTTGATCTACCATATGATGGTAGACATCCCTCTACTAGGTTCTCTTGATCTACCATATGATGGTAGACATCCCTCTACTAGGTTCTCTTGATCTACCATATGATGACAGATATCCCTCTACTAGGTTCTCTTGATCTACCATTTGATGGCAGAGATCCCTGTACTAGGTTCTCTTGATCTACCATATGATGACAGAGATCCCTCTACTAGGTTCTACTTAATCTATCATATGATGGCAGAGATCCCTCTACTAGGTTCTCTTGATCTATTATATTTTTAATGATAAACACATGGAAGACACACTTCATTAAAATATTTAACACAAATGAAATCTTAATCATAACAAACAGAATTAAAACTAGTTAAATTCCAATGTTTTAATTAGAAAATCAATACAATCTGTAATATTGCTTCAAAATTGTTATCACCACATCCAATCATGTTTTTGTACCAGCAATATGATTTATTTATAAACAAACGATTGTATATAAAGTAGTGTAGGGTTATTGAGTAATCTATTTTTTCTGGTAGATCTGTGTCAACTCATACATAGAACATGTATATCAAAACTGAGATATTAACACATAAATTGTAAATGGACAACCTGATTATGAAATTACCATGCACCATCAAATATTTTCGTAGAAAAATACAGATAATTCAGTTAGTGAGAACTAATACAGATTACAAGAGATAATCAATATTATGTGATAATGGTTATCATATTTATTGACACCATAGCATGGCAAGGCATGGTCGTTTTTCAAACAAAAGATATTGTTTAATTTAATCATAATCAGTTAAGAAGACATCAAACCACTCACAAATCACAAAATCTGATTAATTAGACTGCTGATATTGATGAATCACAAAGTCTAACTTAATATGTTCCGTTACTAATATGCAGTAGTCTCTATGGTAAGAATGGTATCGTCATTGGTCTGGCTGTAAACTTAATATCCTGTTTTTAATTTCTTGCCCTCTTGCAGATTGTTGAAGATGGAAATTTTTGATGTGAGAAATTTATGGGCAGAAGCATTTCTTCAGCATTTTCCACCCCCAATAAAAACTACCTGTGCAATTGACATTGGTGTGCAAATTAAGCATTTTTTACAGTATATATGGCATTTGAATTCTTTAATATTGAATCATAATTTCTGAACACAACATGCATCGTTCAATATAGAGTGATACCTCGGATCAATAATTTTTCACACAAGAAATGGTCACACAAAAATAATTTTCTTAACGGTCATTTTTCTGTGTTTTCCCCCACACTCAGTTCTGAAATAGCCACATAACATGTATATGTAGTTTTATAATTTAACAGCAAACAGTGTACTTGAGTGAAGTGAAAGACAGTCTTTGCAATTTTCATTTGTTAACTTTTTCTTTCCATCTTTCGTTGAACACAGTTCAATTTTCTGTCCATCCAGACCAAACACTGATGATACCTAAAATATAGAAAAGACAAGCAATCAAAAAGTGAACTTGAAACAGATTTACAGAACGCACAACATATAAAAAAATATTCCGAGATATTGAGCATTATTTGACAATGCAATTACACTTTAAGTAAAGTCTCTACATTTTCTCCATGAAAATGTAGTTATGTGTATGAAGATGGACCATTTGTGCACTTAAACAAGTTAATTGAATTAATTAGTATTTGGTAAGAAGATTATCAATTATTTCACACTCTAAGACATGACATTTGAAGTGATAACAAAATTCATGAATGAGGTTAACATATGTCCTGATATAGTCTGGATCGATCCTGGTGGTGACGTAATGATATCAGGCCTACAAGGTTAAGATTCAACATAGAAAGATCATAAATAAATATCAGAGAACAGTCATAATTTGTATGTTGCATCATCTTTATGATAGATATGGAAATATGGTGGAAATTACAAAAAAAATTTATGTAAGAAAACTGCTGGCCTGGTTCCTCATTTTGGGAGTCTACTTGGAGAACTTCTTCAGATGTATTTACCTGAGATTTCAACTGATTCAATGACAATGTCACTCCCCTAGGGTTCTCCAGAAGTAAGGTCCCCTTTACACCATTCATTTCCACGTTAGCAAAGTGGCACATTGGTGAGGAAACAGGTGCGGAACCCAACTGACACTTGGGTGCAACAAATATGGTCTGACCGGCCAGGGAGGAAACATCACCAGTTATTGGGAGTACCTCGGACATATCACAGTTCTTGTAAACTTCCAATTTTACACCACGGACACCAAACACAGCTTTCACCTTGAAAAGACCAAAAAATTACATATAGCTGAATGCTTTTATTGACATACCTGTACAGCTGAAAAATGATACTTAGAATGTTCAGAGATTGTTGAAAATTATTACAACAATTGTTCTATGTAGTGCATGAAATGCAGTAATGATGAAAAACTTCAAAATCAAACCACTGGAGGGGCATTTCGTAAGACATTACTTGATGAAAATTATGGGAGAAATTTAACGATAGTCATAATCACCTCACTGAGAGCTGTTCAATTTTTTTTTGTCTGATATTAATCTGGACCTGTTTGATTCTCATTATTATACCTGGTGGTTCCATTGTGTGATATGAATCTGGACCTGTTTGATTCTCATTAGTATACCTGGTGGTTCCATTGTGTGATATGAATCTGGACCTGTTTGATTCTCGTTAGTATACCTGGTGGTTCTGTTGTGTTATATGAATCTGGACCTGTTTGATTCTCGTTAGTATACCTGGTGGTTCTGGTGTTATCTACCTTGTTCTCATTTGAGAACGTGACATTACTTGCTTTGCTTGAATTGACAAACAGGTGTCGTCCATGAAGCAGAAGTTGCCTACATTTCTGCATCAGCTGGTCTTATTCTCCTTGTACTTTTTCTAGAGTCTCTGTTTAAGTCTTTCTTTTGTTCATATTATGCCAGAATCACATCAAATTTAAGTTAAGATCTGTTGACATGGTGGTACTTTTGCACAAGATTGACACAAAGTCTTTTGCTTTACTTGGAATATCAAGTGATATACAAACTGATGTACACATAAAACAAATTGTTGGGTTGAAATGGAGGAGTAAACCAATCTATAACACATTGTACATTAAACTTTTTTCCATACCTCATCGACCAGAACTTTTCTGCTGCTCATGGTCTTGCCTTTTGGATTTTCCAGAAGGACTGTAGCATGATTTCCAGACACACCTTCCTGAGGAGCCAGTCCACACAGCTGTACATTGATATAGTTACATATAGGGGACACCCCCTTTACCAGTGGAGCAGGCTGTACTACAGTTAATGAGGTTGGTGCCTTGGAGCTGTTTCCTGATCTCGACACAATGGTTAGCTTCAATTGATCCTTCTTTACCTGAAGTCAAAATGTTATATATATAAATATAACATGAAATCCGCCAGATATCAGATGATCACAAATACCTGAAACCTGTATAACGAAACCAATGGGACCAGTTTGTTTTCACATAAGGAACATTACAAATGAATTTGACATTATAATAAAGTATTTAAAAAAATCAGATTGATCACAATTCAATTGTGATATCAAAGGAAAGAAAAAAAAAATGAAACCATCATTTTTTGGGGCAATAGTCAAACGTGGTTAATTTCAAAATTCCTTTTTTGCCCTAACCTGTAAAAAAGCAGGGACTGAACATGTCCAAGAATACCTTATCAATTATATCACTCACCCAAGCAATTTCTTCCACAACAACCTTCGACCCTGCGGGAACGGGGTAAGGTGACACAGGCTGTTTGATGGTACTGAAGATGAAGTCGGAGAAGTTGTTGATGATAGCCGTGAGCTTGTCTGTTGTCTGGTAGTAGACTGTGATCTCATCAGAAGGCACTAGTCTCCCCTATCAAATACATCCACAGAACTTAGAAATAATCGTTGGTCATTTCAATTGATAAAATTGTCAAGGTAAAAAAGGTATGACTTAAAAGAAATTAATCATAAATGTAAAAACTATTTAAAAACGATAAACACCTCAGATTAATCGTTATTGTGAAAACTATAAATATTGACAACATAGGCTTCACATTAATCGTTAATTTGAAAACTATAGATATTGACAATATAGGTGTCTGAATAATTTTTTGGAAAATTAAGGATGTTGGGAGAATATGGATGTGTTCAGTTTTGTGTTGTATATCATTATCTGTATGTATCATTATGTCCATGAACTAATAAAATCTGTATAAGCAGATTTACTAAGCTATTAACAAAAATCCATGAAAACAAAGGGCAATAAGAGAGTGATGATTCTTGTGCAATACACTTCTCCTAGTTGAGATTTATCTACCTATGACGTTCCTGACGAAATTATGATGGACAGACAAACAGACGGACAAAGCGGTGACTATATGCTCTCCTTACGGGAAGCAAAATAAGAAAAACAATAGCATCAAACTCTCTACAGGCAAAGTAATGAAATATATAGGTGAAGGACCTTAATGTTCCTTAAAACTTGGTTAGTTCTTTACTACATAACTTTTCTTTATAAAAATTTCCATCCTCAATTTCTCTAGGGGTTCTCATCACTTTCATTCAATGAACTCCTTGAACCTGTCTTGGTAAATTCAAAGGCATAAGTGAAGTAATTTGAATGGTTACAGGAACAAAACCTGACCCATCACAGGCTGACATACTGCTTTCGAAGATTACAAGCAATTGAAAACTCAACTTTAAAGCGATTAACATACAGTTATGTGACCATGGGCTTCCTGTGATGTACATCAAAGGATCAAACTAGTCTTTTTGTCTTGTCCATAAGGTTTCATACATGGAGCTTGCAATTTTGCCATGACATGTTCCAGGGGTGAAGAGAGCAAAAGTGAATGTTACCCCTGCAGCACTGAGGATGAAAAATTTCAAATATTTCACCAAACATGTATAATTTTTGTGTCAACACTACATGCCCTTCTCCTGAGTCTCTGTATCCTGTTGATGACTTCCCGAGCAATGCCTTCGTCCAGCATGCTTTGGTCTGGTGTCACATCAAGTAACACTAACACCTGTAATAAACATACTGTTTGTGACTAAATAATGCTACATTTGCCTGAATATGTATTATTTTTAAACAAACTTAATGATTATATAAAACTACTCTTTATATTAGATAAACCATATAAATCATGTCTTTCATCATAGGGTACATGTAGCACAGTCATCAGGAAGTGAAACTATTAGATCATAGTCTCACATGTAAACAATATGTATTATTATTGTAAATAATGAAACAAATCAGGCATATTTTACATTGAAACAAATATTTTATCAAACACTAGGGTTTTACGAAAACATATTGATAAAAAAATGATATAAACAAACATGATATTAACAAACATGATATCAACTAACATGATATTAACTAAACATTTGAAATCAAACTTTATGAAAATGACAATAATCTGATGGAGATGAATACAGTGAACAGTCAGTTGGCAAGTTTTGATAATTTTTCTCAGTTATACATTTGAATGTATTTAAATTCTCAAAACTGATTGAGTAAGTCCTGACTTTACTTTCTACACTTAGAAACATAACACATATCTGTTGGAAGCAAAAGTTAAAGATAAATCTTACTTCTTTGTCTCCATGTGCATCATAGCAATTAGGAGTGGAGCTATCCTTGGCATCAAATTTGTAACGGAGCCGCATATCGCCTTCCTCAAGCTTATGTCCCATCACAGTTATATGACCAGTCTGTAGAAAGTTTTCAAGTTCAGAGTTGCTCAGTGCTTTGATGGCACCAAAGACTTTCTTGACATCTCCTGAGATTTTTCCACCAAGAGCTTTGAAGTCTGGTTCTGCTGTCAACTGAGCTCCATATTTGTCCTTGTCGCTGGTTGTTGTGATATTTTTAACATTTAACTCCTGCAGACAAAACAGAGGAACTGAAGCATTAGAGATATAAAAAAAAAGAATATGATTTTTAAATTAATACAATAGATAATGCTGTACTGATATAGAAAAAAATGTGTCTTTGTACCATCAGTCTAAAATTAACACCAGCATTTATCAACTCGTTAAAAGAGTGTGTCTTATCGTAATATCACCTGAGTACACAAAACCATGACACATCCTTGAATTTGAACATCAAGCATACTAATCAAGAGTGTCAATTATGGTTTTTAATAGATTAAGGATATTTCATTGTAGTCATAAACACTAATATGAAATTTCTTATATTTGGTGTTTACCTCCTTGATATATTCGCTGAGGAAAGAGATGTCACGTAATGCCTCCTCATCACCATTGATTGCTACAACCTCTTTCAAAGGATACTACAAAAAACAAGGATAAGTAATAAACCATTAATCAGATATATATATCTAATATAGTACACTGTCTATATTAATCCCTCATTAAATAGCAGGATTACTTTGAGGTGGAATTTCCTTGAAGCCACTGGTCGCTCCCTCACTGAACATTTAAGAGGGCTGTTACATGTCATCCAAACATAAAGGGTGTCTTGTCCCAAGGATATAACCACAACAGCACAGAATGGTCCATCTCTCAGACGAACAATAATTTAATAAGTCTGTTCACAGTTTATATAACTCAGATTTTCTTTACATAAATAGAACCAGAATCCCTAAACCTTGAAGTTTTGCCTGCTTACCTTCATTGGCAGAGTATTTCTATCACGGATCAGGCGACCAATCTCTATGACAGACTGCATGCGTGACACTGCCTTTTCCATCTGCGTATCTATCAGATCCTCTCTACGTAAAACAGATGTAACAAAATAAACAGCTTTGCATTGTCATTGTACTATAATAATCATCAGATGTAACAAAATAAACAGCTTTGTACTGCATTGTCATTGTACTAAAATAATCATCAGATGTAAAAAAAATATACAAAAGTATGTAGAAGATCCCGCTAATAACATTTACACCAGAAATAAAACATCAACAACCTGACCCATTGATCTTCATGAAAGGTTAAACTCTAGATATTGGTTTCCTTATTCTTGAATTTAAGTTGATTTCCTTCTAATTTTTTTTTAACGTACCTTGGGCTGGGGATCATGAGGAAATGGATGCTGCGGACATCCAACTTCTCTGTGTAGGCTGGGTCCAACAAGTGCTGCAGGTTCTGGTACATGTGTTCTGTGATGAACGGGATCAGGGGAGACTGAAAACAAGAGGATCAGTGATTTCTAAAACATATCCACCATTGATAACATTACAACATCCAGGTAATAAAAAAAAGTTGCTAAATTAGGAAAAGGTCAGTTAATACATGGAGAAAATTATTTCTTATAAAAAATTTCAAACATAAGATTATGAATAACACTGACATTCTCACAAATATATCACTTCTGTATCAAACGTAACACTGTTGTGGTCTTTCAAATATATTTATCTCATTTGTAAAGTGCCTATATCTTTAATAACAAACAGTAAATGAACCTACCATGACTCTGACCATGGCATGTAAAACACCAAACAGAGTCTCCAGTGCCATACGACAGTCCTCAGCACCTCTATCTCCCTGATAAAAGGTAATTAAATATGTCATCTCCCAAAAAGAAACATCAGAAAAAATTGATTATGTATATGGTATGGTGACAGTATTTAACTGGCTATGTTAAGTAAGATAGATATGAAATCTAATTGCTGTATATGAAAATCATTCATCCAGGCTTCAACCCCATCTCCTATCCGAACCATGAAAATGTTCACTTTTGCCTGATATAACCCTATAGGCAAAAGGACAAAACAAGTGAAAGCTAAACTGTGGCAGATGTTTCCCTGTTTACAGTACTAATGACTGATAATTATAGACAATATGTAATCTTAAAGCCCTAATAACAGTCTGACTTGTCTGTATTTGCTATTTATGAATGTGACATATCAATGATTGGAATTATCTGATACAACCATCAGAGTTTGACAACACTGTGCATCTCAAGTATAAATCTACTTCCTTACCTTTAAACGTTTCCTGTTCATCCTCACGTACCAGTTGGTCAGCTGTCCCACAAACTTGACCATCACTGGCATCACAGTGTACAGGTGGTATTCTGAAAAAGCACAGGTCCACATCTTCACAATCTCACCAATTTTTCTGTATCTTTTCCGAATTTCAACTTTTCAAAATTTCATATCTTCTAAAAATAAAGATTCTACTACATCAATTTTTTGGTATCTTTGAAGAGTTTTGTATCGATACTGACAGAGATCCACATTTTGCTATCTTCAAGTTCATCATATCTTATAAATAGAGAGAGTCACATTGATATTTCCATATCTTTGACAATATTTGACATACTGGAACCTCTCTTGTTTTAAAGCATCAAAATCAGGACTGTTTATGTAGTATACTGATACAGCTGTATTGTTACTATAAAATATATCAGGAAGTAGGATGAGGTGGAATTTTATCATAAATAGTACTGGAGGGACAGGTAAAAACAGATAATACAAAAATCTAAGTGATCCTATATCAAGAACACTTTACAAAATCTTTACTCTCCCGTCACTGGCTCTATAATACCATGGGGTATTTTAGAAGACCAACAATCCATCCAGTAATTCTTACCACAAGACTTCTCACACATCTTGTGCAGAACATGATGTACCTGACCTCTCCAATTAGGCTACCTGGCTTTTGTACGGGTATAGAGTTTACCTGGTATCTTTAGATGCTTTACCCTACTTTTCCAATCGGACACCAATGACTAGCACTTTCCCGACATTTCCTATGAGATATGTACCTTATCTTTCCAATAGCGTGTACCTGGTTATTGCTACAAAGGACTTACCTGACATTTCTTTTTTGACAAATTTGAGAAGAGACTGTGTCGAGGAAAGCATCCAGCGATCCATGTAGTTTGTGGGGCGAGAGAAATTGTTGGGGTTATACAAAAACACGCCTCCATCTTCCTGAAAATATTAATCAAGTCCAAGATTAAATCAACTTAGTGTGTTTACACAGGTACAGAGGTGAAAGTTAGAATTTATACAGAATTAGGCAACCAAAGTTAAAACAAAATACACTGTAGACTGTTAACCATTAATCTACTATGTTCTGTTTACTTCTTTATGTGCATGACTGCCAGAAACCAAAAAGAAAAATTAAGCCATAACTACCGTGCCAATGCAATTTGATAAAAATACGATAAAATTTTGTCGTTGACACATTTGTTTATGATTTTAAATATATTTACTGGATATACATGTATATATACAAATTGTAGTTTTATTCTATTTTACGGTTACGCTCTTAGGGTGCTGTATGTGTAAAGTTATGCTTCAATGACATTGCCACAGCCTTGACCTTTTCATTACCCACCTCATCGCTATCAATGTAGAATGTTCAAGAGTACATATTGATTGAATTTCATGTTAAAATATTGTTGACGGAACTTGTTACTCATAAGGATATAAATGTGAGTATTACTTCAAGTATCAATGTCCCACAGTTATGTGTATGAGAGAGGGTGCCTATCCATGCATATGCTGCAATTCAATGACGAGTTTCACATTACATTTTTTGTTTTATTTTCATACTTAAAACTGTTTATCTAAATGAAAGATATTGTTAGGGTATAAAATAACAAAACAGTTTTTTTATTTATAACTTATTCATTACTGTCACACCATGCTTGTAAACACATATCTGGTAAGCAACAGATGAAAATAGGGTCAATCTTCGATGCAAAATGTCTCCATTCATAGAAAAATGGCTGAGTTGAACCATTGTATAAGTTAAATATTTCATTCGGTCCCGTCGACTCACATTTCACAGTAATTTTTTTTTCAGATCATACCTTGTTCTATTCAATTCGTTGAGCACACCTATACAAAAACCATGCTGGTTGAAATCTTACCCTTTCATATCTTTCTGCATTCTGCATGAAGAATCTATAGGCATTGTACCATGGAAGGAAGACATCCTTGAGTACTCGTTCAACTCCCTCCTCACGGAAACACAGGTTCTCTGCTCTCACTGCTGGTGAGTTACACAGGTACAACCTAGTTGTTGCACAATACAAATATATATCACTTTCAAAAACAAAAATTTGATGATCTATTTCTAAAACTCTCAACACACTGTATATATAACATTACAGCAAATATTACCAAGTAGTAATTCTTTAGTCCATCAGACAGCATAACATTCAGAATAGTATATTTTTTATTAGAATGTAACCTTGACCAACCAGTGTCTTGGCAACTCCAACAACTATGGCATTGCTAATGTTTTGATGGTTCATACTGTCATGGTATCTAATGAAGGCTTATGCACACAGTAAGTATTTTTTACACATGTCTGAAGTAGACAGTGGTTTTCTGAACCAGACTATGGGTTTCTGAGTCAGATTATGGGTTTCTGAACCAGACAATGGGTTTCTGAACCAGACAATGGGTTTATGAGTCAGATTATGGGTTTCTGAACCAGACAATGAGTTTCTGAACCAGACAATGGGTTTCTGAGTCAGATTATGGGTTTCTGAACCAGACAATGGGTTTCTGAACCAGACTATGGGTTTCTGAGTCAGATTATGGGTTTCTGAACCAGATTATGGGTTTCTGAGTCAGATTATGGGTTTCTGAACCAGACTATGGGTTTTTGAGTCAGATTATGGGTTTCTGAACCAGACTATGGGTTTCTGAGTCAGATTATGGGTTTCTGAGTCAGATTATGGGTTTTTGAACCAGACTATGGGTTTCTGAGTGAGCTTATGGGTTCCTCAAGGACTCTCACCAATTAAATTATCAAGGTATTTGCTTTTCTTTAAGCTTTATTCTATCCTTAAAAGTAGCAAAATACAGATCTTCTGAAAAGTAACCTTGATTACACCTTAATCTTTACTGTATTTAATTTTTAGTTGTCATTCCATACATTTATCATTTAAAATCCTATTGCTTTATACTTAATACCCCTTTAAAGACACTAGATACACATGTAAGAACCAGCTTAATAGGACCTAGACAGTTCATACCTAAGAGCATCAGCACCAAACTTATTGACCACTTCAATAGGATCTGGGTAGTTCTTCTTCCTCTTACTCATCTTCTGTTTGTCTCTGTAATATAGAAGGTTTAAGAACGGCTGAAACCTATAATCATACCTTTACTGAACAAATCTTGATATTAAATTAAAAAGGACCTCAACCAATCTTAATGTCATGTATAACCAAAAGTCTTTCCCAAAACTATGAATTTAAATTCAGCAATTTTAAGACATAACCAAAACAGAGTATTTGTAATACTTTGAAAATTTCACTTAGAAAGGTTAATCATCAAAGGAAGTTACAAAACTTGCACTAAATGGTCCTCATTAAACATTTAATGAATGAATTTGAAGTGAAACAGCATTCTACTGTAACTTACGCTGCCAACACAAGGCCATTTACAATCAGGTTCTTGAATGGAGGCTTGTCAAACAACAGAGTAGACAACACAAGGAGGGTGTAAAACCTGCAAAAGTAACATTGTAACACTGAAACCTCTGCACCATAGAATAGACACGAAATCTGCTTTCACTAAACCTTAAATGTTGGTGACAAAGATTTAGCTCCTTGTAATGATATTATGAAATACCCTAATTGTACAAAATATCAAAACCCAATCTTATTAAATGGCTTCTTAATTTTGTGATTTATTTCCATATAAAATCAGGATGATATTAATTAACATTTGCTATAAATATGTGACAATTAAAAACCTGAATAAGGAAGCTGGTTTACATTTAACCAAAAATGAAATAAACAATGTTGATCTTTTGTATTTCAGACAATTTACAAAATGAACACTCACATTATAAATGATAACATCCTACAAATGTAATTAAATGCATGCGTGTATTGGACAGATAATCTGTTGCCATTTCAATGTCAACTCTCTTTTATTTGAGGTTAAGTAAAGTTTAATTAACATAATACATGTACATATTTATCCTACAATAAATCCTGGGAGCCAACACTTTACTTATTACCTGAAATTAGTTGTGGGACACTGACAAAGCAGTAGTTTTTATTGTATTGAACCTAGAGACAAATAGGCTTACTACAAGACATTGGCTTATTGCAGAATAAATATTTTAATTACTCACTCTCAATTATAGAGGACACACAGATATACTATCTTACTCTACACCAACAAATAAAACAAACAGCTGGAAGTCCCTCCTACAAACACAATACTAACCAACCCCTGGTCTGGTCCACACCTTCTGCAATGAAATCAGCAGGGAAGTTCTCATCAAAGTCTTTCTTATGCTCAAAAGGGTAGTGGACCTGAGCGTATGGCATGCTGCCACTCTCAAACCAGCAGTCAAACACCTCTGGGGTCCGCTTCAGTTGTCCTTTCCCCAACTTGGAAGGAATAGTGATTTTATCGACACTGGAAATAAATAAGGCTTTGGCATAATCATCAACCAATAGATTTCCTCTCTATATCAAAATTATATAGGAAAATTCTTGTTTTCTTTAACCTCAACAATATTGTTGACACAAATTTGTTAACATTTCTTACTTCCTTTTCTGCTTTTAAAATTTTTTTTCAGTGTTGTGGGGAGGTGTCGTGGGAGGGTGAGGGAATAAGAAATAAGAATAGTACGGACAGTTTAACACTGAGATTTTAAGGTATTACATCCACTGTTGCACTGCTTACCTTGATCATTCAATGGTGCTCATAATATTGCCTAATAACTGAAAGGAGTCAGGAATGTTTATAGAATAATCAATTTTTTTCTGAAAAAAAGGCTTTCTGTGTTTTGATGTATTGCCATATCATAAATTTTACAAAACTTATGTACTAAAACTATTGTGAAGTCATAAATAATTCACATCTTGATGACGTCACATGATTGTCATGGTCGTGAAAAAACATGCCATAAGTCTGTCTTATTAAAGACAATTTAGTTTATGAGCTTTTGCTAATTTTTCAGAAATATGATTTAAATGATAAACAGAATCTTATACTCGAGTGGATGTAAGATGCAATTTAGTATTACACTGACACTCATGTAAGACCCCACCTTTCTCTATACATACACCTCGTAATGTAGTGAAAAGATATACAGCTATTATATTACTTAAGATAAGAATTCTTCAACCATCTTCTACAACATTAAAATATTAACAGACATGTGATATATGTATGTTCAAAATCTTAACAGATGTGTAATATGTATAAGTTCAAAATCTTAACAGACGTGTAATATGTGTAAGTTCAAAATCTTAACAGATATGTGATATATATTAAATATTCTGTATATATCATGAAGATGAGGTTTCCATGAAATATCCTGCTCACTTACGTTTCCCTGTGAAGGTCGTCCACCTTTACCCCACTGAGCTGGTGAAGTTCCTCTATGGACCCCACACACACAACCTGTAGATACCATTACATAAATAGCCTAGTGAGATTTATGGCAAATGAACATGCTAAAAACATCACTTTGACATTAAGGAAAAATATTTTTTCTAGAAAGTATTTACGGAACAACACATTCCACACCATGATATCAGAATACATTCAGAATTAAAACCAAGCAAGACTGAAGCTATTTGTAGTTAAGAGTGCCTATGATAAAAAAATTGTAATACAGTAAATCCCTAATCAAATTTTACATTTTTCAAGTCTGTGTAAAAGAATCATCCACATTAAAACTAAAATCGATTTCCCAGGAGATCCAAAACAATGAAAATAAAGTAATTCTGGGTAATACTTAGTAAGTTAAACAAAAATATCCCACCTCCTGCCCATCATCACTGATCCACATTGGTATTGGTGTACCCCAGTATCGGTTCCTGGAGATGGCCCAATCTCGTGCATCTCTCAGCCAGTTAGCAAACCTCTTTTCTTTCACAAAATCTGGCACCCTAGTCATAAGTACATATTATGGTTATTGGTGTAAAGACAAGGTGACACAATCTTGGATAAAAAATATACATAGTATATGCGTATCAACTTGCGTCAAAGATAATGAAATAAATTTATCGTAAAATAATTTTATGAGTATGACAGAAGACATCAAAGTCCAGTAGACCTAACTCTCAATATAAAATATTACAGAATAAATTACAATCATAGTATTTTTTAAGCTTAAGTCTGAAAGTCTCTGTGCCCTGTCTTGATACTCAGACAACTATAAAGCTATTGAGTAACATGTGCACCAAAACAAAGTGGTTATTACTAAATCTGTAATTTTTAATACATGACAAGAAAAACAAGTCAATGACATTTTATCTGATTAGGGTGATTAATATGTACTACATACCAGTAAGTTTTAGAATTATTATCTAACAATTTGTGTGTGGCCTGTTCAACACGAACAAACCAGCTGGGAACAGCCTTGTAGATCAAAGGTGTCTCAGACCTGAAATAATGAGAAAAAAAAGATAAACTCTGAGTCCTATCAAACTGATGAGAAGTTTTACATGTAACAACAACTGATAACAAATTATATTTAATACTGTCAAGATTCTTTTCTTCTTGTGTTAAAATGTGAAGATTTATCTCCCTTAGACCAATGTTACGTGATAGGCCATCCCATACTTTATTGGACTGCATTTTTTTTACCTCCAACAGAATGGATAACTATGGGTGATGGTTCCTTGGTGTACCAGACGATTGTTGGACTTCAACATTTTCATTATGTGTTTATCAGCATCCTGTAAAATGTCATATTTATAATAATTCAAACTATTCCTTGTTTCATACACAGCAATATTCAGTGAAATATTGAATTATACTTGATAGGTCCTTGATAACATTTGTCACAGATCTCTTTATAAATTTGTCACTATAAAATCAACATGTGGTATAGAATTCTTAAATGATTGGTCAATCAATACAGTTAAATGGATTCATAGAAATTTCTTGTATAGAATAAAAACAACCAAGGCAGGTTATATTCTATTTAATTTTATGTACAGGAATTTTAGCTTTTATAATTTATTGACTGCACAAATGACAATATACATATATTCAATATATTAAAAGTCTTGTAAGGGCTATTTCAGTAAAACATGATCCTGGGGGCCTCCAAAATAAATCATTTTGATTCATGATTCAGTTTCCTGCCTATTACTTCTAAGCAAGTTAACAATTAAATTCTATAGGTGGTAACTCTGAACAAAACATGGAGTCTTACCTAGGGTTAGCTTAAAACTGTACCGGAATAAACAAAACATGAGTCTTACCTAGGGTTAGCTTAAAACTGTACCGGAATAAACAAAACATGAAATCTTACCTAGGGTTAGCTTAAAACTGTACCGGAATAAACAAAACATGGAGTCTTACCTAGGGTTAGCTTAAAACTGTACCGGAATAAACAAAACATGGAGTCTTACCTAGGGTTAGCTTAAAACTGTACCGGAATAAACAAAACATGGAGTCTTACCTAGGGTTAGCTTAAAACTGTACCGGAATAAACAAAAACAAGATTCCTACTGTGGGATAGATGTTTCACTGGAATAGCACTACACAAAATGTGCAGTCCTGGGGTTGGACAGATGTTTTACTGGCCAGCAAAAGCCCTAAACAACATCTGAAGTTCTGAGGTGGGAAAATTGTTTTACTAGAGTAACCTTTACAAGCATGGTTGCCTAAGATTTTCACCTTGACATGCATTCCTTTGAAGTCAACAACTTCTTCTGTGAATTTTCCACTGGCATCAACCGGACAGATCATGGCGCTATCTTTGCTAATTATACCATTGTTCAAACACACCCGGTAATCGTCCTGTAATAAGAAAGAAAAGAAACCCTGTAGGCAGTGCAAACACAGCAACCCTAGAGTCCAGCATACTCTAAAAATACTAGAGATTACACAGCTAGACACTAACAACAAACTCTTTGTAAAGTCAGCAGATTGAATAATGCCTTACAATAAATCTGACAGCTAGCAGCCTCACGTTGTGGGATAAACTAGTTTAGCTGATCCATTTAATATATATATGCTCTAGACAACTATATCCATGTAATTAAAATTCACTCAGAAGATTTACAGAAGAAAATTCATATTGCATGAACTTTTCCTTTGTTTGATTGACAACAAAACAGTACAATCTTTCCTAATCTATGAGGATTTCTAAACATAGCATGCAGATGTTCCATAATTTGAATAAAATTGTGAACAAGAAGCACTAGTCACATTATTCTGGAGACATGTGAAGGAAAAGTATTCTATAAGGGTACCTCTCCAAAGTATGGGGCTTGGTGTACGATGCCTGTGCCACTTTCCGCACTAACGTAATCATCACAAAGGATTCGGAAGGCACCTTTCTCCTTCCCCATCTACAATTCAAACATAAGACAATTACATTTTCATCAGTGAAATATCAACATAATTCATAATGTATTTACCAATCAGAATGTTTGATGTCTTAAAATTGACCAATCAGAACATTCTCTACGCATTCACCAATCAGAAAGTTCTCTCTCTAAGCATTCACCAATCAGAATGTTCTCTCTCTTAGTATTGACCAATAAGCATGTTCTCTCTCTCAGCATTGACAAATCAAACTGTTCTCTCTCTAATGACTAATCATAATGTTCTCTATTGATATTAACCAATCTGAAAGTCTTCTCCTTGTTGAGTATATACTTTATAACACTACAATCATCCAACAATATGCTTTAGAGAAAATGTTAGAAAACAGTTCACTGTTCACTTACATATTCAAAATAATTGAACAGAGGTTTGTACTTCTTCCCAACCAAATCCTTGCCTTTGAATCTGAAATGGAATACAGATTAACAGTGGTACACAACATGCTATCAAACCAAGCATTGTCAGCAAATATCTTTCATCAGAGAACTGAAGTATTGTGTACTTATGTGGTAGAAACATTCACAACCTGTAAAGTGTTGGCAAAATGTGTTCATCATTTGTAGAATTGATGTATACGGAAAAGGCACTTATTTTGGCAGAATCAAATTTTAGCACAATATTGTTTTTAACTAATAGGTAACAGTCAATTGCAACAAGCTCAAGGTTGGTATTGTTGTTCTATTGCGTCTAATGATTTTGCCTGTAGATGTGGTAGTTGTAAAGGAACAATGATACCAACCTGTCCCTGAGCTTGTTCTGATTGATTTTTACCTTTATTTACCCACCCACCCCCTCCTCCTATTCTTTAATCGTCAGGCATGCCTAGAGGTATCCAAGCAATGGACAACAGAACCTATACTTCCTTCACCAGAAGTACGGTGTTGACACCATACCTCTATGGACTTTTAACAATTGAGTGCAATAACAATTCACACATTCACAATAATTACTACATTATTAATGACATACAGATATTGCAATTAGTGCCATGATATTTCAGTGCAATATCTCAAGTGTGAAAAGCACTAAAATAAGATCACCACTAAAATATATATGTTTACAGTAAGCTTAAGTGTGAAAGCACTAAAATAAGATCACCACTAAAATATATATGTTTACAGTAAGCTTAAGTGTGAAAGCTCTAAAATAAGATCACCACTACAATATATATGTTTACAGTAAGCTTAAGTGTGAAAAGCACTAAAATAAGATCACCACTAAAATATATATGTTTACAGTAAGCTTAAGTGTGAAAAGCACTAAAATAAGATCACCACTAAAATATATATGTTTACAGTAAGCTTAAGTGTGAAAGCACTAAAATAAGATCACCACTAAAATATATATGTTTACAGTAAGCTTAAGTGTGAAAGCACTAAAATAAGATCACCACTAAAATATATATGTTTACAGTAAGCTTAAGTGTGAAAGCACTACAATATATATGTTTACAGTCACCACTACAATATATATGTTTACAGTAAGCTTAAGTGTTAAAGCACTAAAATAAGATCACCACTAAAATATGTATGTTTACAGTAAGCTACTGCTATAGTGACTTTTAAATATTTATTTATGTTAAACTATAATGAAAACTATATTGTACTATATCAGTTGATGGGGTGAAACTTACTTCTCCAATACAGTATATTCTTCTGAAGATTTGAAGAGTGATTGTAGTCTGGCCTCCATCAAAATGTAGACACGATTTGTTTGATTATCTATAAATAAAAAATCAATAATCTGCATTAAATACACTTCTTACTGTCACACTGATTATCATCTTGTAACTTTGAACAATAGTCTAGAAAAAAATTCTGAATTTCAAAAACAATCCTTCACTTTTTATCAGTGTCAGTTCAATAATCAATAGGTTTAGAAACAGTCACTTAAGACTTTGATCATGGTAAACAGAACAAAACAATGACATGTCTGAGTGCAGCCATTCAACTTTACAAACACAAACTAGAGCTTTTGCGGTTTTATTTTTCCTAATTTTGGAGCATTGAGAAAAATTTTTAATTTAAGACTTTAAATGAAACTGATGGAAATTATCATTCATTTCATGATCTCTGCAAACTACCTTCATCTTTGGCTCAAAATTTGGTAAAAACCACCAGATTTCGAACTATTGAAGAAAGAAACAACAGTATTTACTAAAACTCAGTCATTGATATGGGAGGCATTGACCTACCTTTAACCTTGATGTAGTCCATATTGGCATTGACACAGAGGGACATGTTACTGGGCAGTGTCCAGGGTGTTGTTGTCCAGGCCAGAGCACTCACCTCTGGACTTTCCAGCAGTGGGAAACTCACAATCACTGTAACACAGTGTAGATTGTAACTTAGGGCAGACAAATACGTACACAACAACTAACAACATATATCACTGAATATTACACTATCTTCTATCAAGATAGACAATGCTAAATGTAACACTATCTTCTATCAAGATAGACAATGCTGAATGTTACACTCTCTCCTATCTAGATAGACAATGCTAAATGTTACACTCTCTACTATCAAGATAGACAATGCTAAATATTACACTCTCTACTATCACGACAGACAATGCTATCAGGACAGACAATGCTAAATGTTACACTATCTACTATCAAGACAGACAATGCTAAATGTAACACTCTCTAGACAATGCTAAATGTTACACTCTCTATCAAGATAGACAATGCTAAATGTTACACTCTCTAGACAATGCTAAATGTTACACTCTCTACTATCAAGATATACAGTGCTAAATGCTACAATCTCTACTATCAAGATATACAATGACAGCTCTAGAAACTTACAAATACTAGACCATACTACTATGGACTGTTATAGTTTAAACATAGAATGTTACATTGTCTATTATCAGGAAAGACAATAATAGATTTAGAATTTTACAAATACATATATAAACTGATGTAGGGTATACACGGAATGTTACAACTAGTATTACAGAATGTTTTCTTTAAGAAGACAATACAATATAACAGGTTTAAAATGTTACAAATCGACTGTACTACAATACTGCTATAAATAGCTGCAGAGCTATACATGGAATTATACAATTAACAACACAGAATGTTAATTTGTCTTTGACTTTATAGCTTATTTAAATCAATTAATCAGTTACAATTACAATGGAGACCTTAACAACGGACATGACTTCAAATATGATGTAGAAATATCCAATTTCTACCTTATTTGCTTGGAAAATGGATTATGTGGCAAAACTAATATTATCTTTATTTCTATTTGATATGTAATTGATGAAACGGATTCCAATTTCTCCTTTTAGTGAGCTAAAACTAAAAGTTCTTCAATAGATTCATTTCATAAATTTACATATCAAATGGAACCTTATGTCAGATCCTGAAAGTATTAGGAAAGACAATGGCAGATTGAAAAACTTCAAAATGATGCTGTTATACATTGAATCTCACAATTATCATGTGAAGTAGTATTGTCTTCTATCAACATGCAACCATAGGCACAGAAATCAGATCTTGTTATGATGTCAATAAACATAGGAGACACACAGATAATCAATGAAATATTATAGGGATAGAAAGTTAAGGAGATACTAACCAGCTGGATCAGTGACATCTTTGTAGTTCTGTCCACTCTCAAAGTTACTGAGGGGAGTATTACACAACGTAGAGTACGGCATCACCTGTAACCAGTACGACACACAAACTAAACAAAGTTACTGAGGGGAGTATTACACATTGTAGGTCATCACCTGTAACCAGTACGACACACAAACTAAACAAAGTTACTGAGGGGAGTATTACACATTGTAGGTCATCACCTGTAACCAGTACGACACACAAACTAAACAAAGTTACTGAGGGGAGTATTACACATTGTAGGTCATCACCTGTAACCAGTACGACACACAAACTAAACAAAGTTACTGAGGGGAGTATTACACATTGTAGGTCATCACCTCTAACCAGTACGACACATAAACTAAACAAAGTTACTGAGGAGAGTATTACACATTGTAGGTCATCACCTCTAACCAGTACAACACACAAACTAAACAAAGTTACACATTGTAGGTCATCACCTGTAACCAGTATAAACAAAGTTACACATTGTAGGTCATCACCTGTAACCAGTACGACACACAAACTAAACAAAGTTACTGAGGGGAGTATTACACATTGTAGGTCATCACCTGTAACCAGTACGACACACAAACTAAGCAAAGTTACAGAGGGGAGTATCACACATTGTAGGTCATCACCTGTAACCAGTACGGCACACAAACTAAACAAACATGTTGTGGTTTTGAAGTTATACATTTTGAAATACCTGTGTCTTAAATTATGTGAGAATATCATGTTTGTTTTATAAATATCAAACACTCTATCAACATAACAATCTATATACCTTAAATGCTACATTTTTCTAAGCTGTCAGTATATCTCAGCTTTCTCTTTCCAGGTTCAATAAAATACCTTTTTTACAAATGTGACACAGCAACATCATACACACAAAATTCTTTTTCAAATTGTTTTGATAAAAACTGATTGCTATGATACCTTTGCTCCCTTGTACACAAAGCCTTTGTTGTACAGCTCCTTGAACACAAACCAGATTGACTCCATGAACCATGGATACATAGTCTTGTAATCATTATCAAAGTCTATCCACCTTCCCAGTCTTGTCACTATATCCTGAATCAAAAACACTCACAATTATTTTTCTGATATTCATTGTTTTAACTTTTTTCCACAAAATTATTCAAATTGTTATCACCGAAAAGCAAAGGAGATTATCCTTATATAAAAAAAAATAATAAAATTCTCCAAAAATATGTGTCCGGAGAAAACTAACCCTTTTTCCTTCGAATGATGTAGTACAGTGTATCATTGTATGACAATATTATCAAAGTTTCTTACAAGTCATACTGATCATGGTCATAATTGTTCCAGAAAGTTAGACTTCTTGTACCTGACCTTTGTATAAAAATTAAAATAATAAGATTTTATTCAAAGTTGAGTGATTACAGTGATAAGAAGTAATTGAAACAAGACCTGACAGAAGTGTATTCTGTTTCAAAACTGAAAATTTCTTTCAACAAGGCACTATTGTGATATATAACTGCCAACAAACCTTTGTAATTTGGATTAGTTTTTTACTTATCAATAGATTTTGTTTGATATAGTGTCAGAACTTTCTACACAGGATTGATCTTACACTATCAATCATCTTTTTCTTTATCTATCATGTAAGAATAGAAATCTATGTATCCATTGTAAAATTTTTTGATATTTTGCCTTGTACATCGTCTCCCCTGTTTTGACAGTTAACTTTACCTGACATTCCTGAGAGTATTTATTTATTTATTTTGATTATTTATTTATTTACCTATTAAGATAGAATGGAAATCTTTGTGTTCATTGTAACATTTTTAGATATTTTGTCTTGTACATCGTCTCCCGTCTTTCAACTTTACCTGCCACTCCTGGGAGTACCTCATGACAATCTTTCGACACTCAGCATTATACTTGTCGATACCCATCTTCATGACATCATCAGGTCCTGTAATACCCAGTGTCTTATCTATCTCATACTCCTGGAATAGACAGCAATTTTATAACAAATTATTCTTTATCAATATTCACAGCATAAATAACCAATATATCAAAATCACAGGGCATGTTATCCATGTTATAAGACTGTAGATATAAACATAAATTAACACAGGCTTTCCTGTGTAATCCTGAAAGTATATCACTCAAAATTTAATCTGCATGACCTAGCAATAAGGTGCAAAGAAGCAAAATAAAAGCCATGTAAAAATGAACACTTTATAGTAAACAAATCTATTTTTGAGACTGAATTTTTTCAGGAAAGAAAAAAGCTCAAGGAAAAAGCAGTGTAAGACTTGATCATACGTGCAATATCAATGTGACTGATCCTAATCAAAGAGTTGACAATAAATAAATGAAAGTTATGATTATTAAACAGATTTCTGTTAAGGTACGGATTTCAAATTTTCCCATAGATACAAGAAAGATCAAAATTAATCGACAACCGCTTGATCAGTGTTTCTATTGTAAGAGGTAGGAAGTCTTTAGTAAGCGTTGCTTCTACATTGTATAAATGCACAGAATATCAGAATGAAGACGTACCACAGGAAGGCCGTGACAATCCCAGCCAAATCTCCTCTCTACATGGTACCCAGTCTGGTGGGCGTAACGTGTGACTACATCCTTAATAGTTCCAGCCAGGATGTGACCGTAATGAGGTAACCCTGTGGCAAATGGTGGGCCATCATAGAAGGTATACCTTTGAAAACATTAAGAATAAATCAACACCAGGTCAAACAGGACATTCTGATAATCTCATTTCAGTATAAATTTGCAGAACATTTAATCACAAATTGCTTTTAAATTTTCTTCCAAATATTGGCCAATGAAAAGATTTGTGACTGTTTAACCACTATATACCAGCTACAAATTTTCATCCCATATATCTAGCACAAATGACAATATTGCTGATGATGTCATTGACCTTGATTGACCTTCACACATCATGGAAATTATATCAAGAATAACAGCATGATGAGAATGTCATCTGTTTTTGAAAATCACTGGTGTCAACACTAGCACGACAAACAGATTTCTGAAATCATGCAGAAAAAGACAGCCCTAAATAATCTTACATCTGTGATGTTTTAAAGTCTGATGCCCAACTATAAATAGGCTAACACTATGTCTTTAGGAAGAACTGTCCCAAAAATTAAGATTTTGATTGTAAAATAGCTACACATTGATGTATGAACTTTTCTTCATTTGAGTGCCATTCTACCATTCTCCATTAGAAACATCCCGGTGAAATTGAGGGTAATGATGTAATACAAGTTTATATTTAGAAAATGAAAGTACTTGATTTAGATCTGATGAATTTCCTGCTCTCAATTTTCACCACAAGTTTGCCTAGTGAATCTACTGAACTGCCAAATTTAATGGAGAAAGAGTTGCATTATACATTGTTTCATTGTATATTTCTAGTTGTTTTTATTATGTTGTGAAAATGTGACTTGACAGGCATTAAAATATTCCGTTTTTTTTTTACACCTAATGGCTAAATTTAAATGTGGCAAAATAAGGTTGTCATGCAGCATATCTAAGCCTATGATCGTTAAGTCATGCGTCCGGAAAAGCACTCATCCGGTCGTCATGGACAATGAAAATTGTCTGAGACAACCAGATTTAACTTTGTCAGTCGTCTGTCGGACAAGTACTTTTTTCCAATGAAATTGATGTTACAACTTAAATTTCAATAAAAATGTAAAGAAAATTTAAAACAAGGAAACATGTTTACGGTACTTCAAAAACAAAATATTCCAGTCTGTGCTCTAACTTTTGATTACACTGGAACTCCCATGATGTCAAATATAGCATTTGGAATACCTTAGTCATTTTCCCACGATCATACTGATGTCAGGTGCTCTCGGGCGGTACTAATATGTACCGGTCTGTATTTAGCAGCACCTAGTCAGTAGGATATAAAAAAACTACAGCTAGGCCTAAGTTGCGCACAATGTCTGACGCAAAGCAGCCATCACTGCATAGTTTTTTCACTAAAACTTAAAATAAAAATAGAAAAAAAGTCACATGTCACATCCTCACTGATTAAGTCGCCATTTCATAGCTGAATTTGGACGAGTAAATTTCCAATCGGGACGAGGAATTTTTTCAGTCCACTAGTCCTGTGCCTAGTGGTTTAAAATATTTTTCCAGACCCCTGTAATTGACTTGCAAAGTAAATGTAAATTAAATCTGATTTGCCTGGATGCTATAATAACCAGATCACACTGATTTCAATACTGACCTTGGCTTTTTTGCTGACTGTTTTAATGAAGTTTTGAAAGCATCTATGTCTTTCCAGTGCTGGAGCACGGCTTCCTCCATTTTGGGGAAATTGATGTGCTCAGCCACTGGCTGACATTTAGACATCGACATGATGGCTGTATTCTGTGTGTTTCTTGTTCTCTGAAATACAGGGGTAAAAGAAAGTAATATATCATTGTTTTCAGATCTCTGTTTTTGTTTTCACATTTTGAAATAAATGTCCTTAGGCAAAACACTTCACCTTAATTGCTCTGGATGGGCCTCTCTTATGCTGTTCAGTCAGGTAGTAAAATGGCCTTGGCTTTTCACAAGCTCTAAACTCAGCTTACAAATTATTCTAGTTAAAGGTAGTAAAATCATGTACCCCAAAATTACAGATGTTTTGCTGAGCTCAAATTTTGCTTATTTTCAAAGAATATTTTAGGGCAATTTGATTTGGTACATAAATATTACTCAAAAATCTATTAATAAAACTAATAATTTTAACATTTATTAGATTCATAAATATATGAATTCCTGAATTATGCATGTATATACCAACACAACCAACAAAAATAAATCTGCTATGAAAATTAATCATTTTACAATATATAGTACATTCAATCACTAAATGAAGGTGATACATTAAAAACTGGACAACTGGTTTCGTGAAAAAATTCACAAGATACAAAATATATCTAAGACATGGCGATGGGAATAGTCAAATTCTAGTCACTTTTACCTGCACTACACCCTAAATTTATAATTCTGTAACAAACAATTCTCAGGAATTTGCAACTTATGTTTGATTTGATTTGTAATTGTTTATGCAATATCTTCAATTCCCCCTTAACTTTAATACTAAACTTTCACATGGGGGAGGGTGGTTATCTGAGGATAGATTCGTAACTGAAAATTAATTAACTGAAATATTTTGCCTAAATCTGAGTGATTAGTCAGATATTTCAAATAATATCTTGTACACAGTTTATAAAATATTATTTCATCATACAGCAAAGACAATATTACAAGTATCAAAAGTATTGACAGAAATAACCAATGGCAAGCTGTAAGATACCAGATACCAAAGTGGTAAGCATCAAAACAAAAATGGCTAACAATATTAGACATAAATCATTCACAATACTTACCTGAAACAATAAACGAGAATCAAGTGAACAAAGTAATGTTGGCAATCCTACTTTTTGTTAGGGTTTGGATATTCCACTTTCATTTCTGAATGGTTTTCTTACAAAGTTCTAATCATAACCACTTCCAAGAAACTTCAGGTCATTTTACCTGGAAAATGTACTCTATAATTGATTGTGCAAAGAAGACATCTTGGGTTTGTTTGCACATTTAAAAAATGCAAATATTAGAACTAAGCATGAAAAGACTTTAAATTGACAGCAGGCATTATGCACAATTATAAATAAATTAATTGAATCTCAAAGATCAATTAAAAAACTGATGAACTCAGTTAATAGGACCAAAGCACTTTGAGGTTCAATTTCATGCAGTTATATTTTACTTTGCTATCATTCAACAAATCTTGATAAAATATGATGTAAAAGTTGTTTTGTAAAAAGTAATATTTTGTTAATTCTATCCTTGAAACAAAAACTCATAAATTGTATCAATGGACTTTTTTGATTATTTTGCATTTTTTATACATCATACTCTTGAAAAAGTGTTTGTTTCCTGCCCAGTTTATGATATCTGCAAGTAATACATTGAATAATAATGTATTCATACATGTATTTTATTTTTTTGTATTTGTTTTTAAAAATATGTCCTCTTTTGTATTTATGTTTGTAAAAATATGTCTTCTTTTTTTATCTGTGTTAAAAAAAAATTGTCTTATCAGTTCAAAACAATTAATTTCAAGTTTCTGTGAACTCTAGGACAATATCTCACATCTGAATGGTCTTCAATGTTAGCGTAATGATAGGAAATGGGCTCTGAACTAACTCACCTCCAACAACAAAACTGACAAGAGTTGATGGAAACAATATCTTAAGAACTTATTGTATATAGATTTGATTTGAATTTAAAGTTAATTGTAATATTATGATAGAATATATTCAGATATTTTAGTTGAAGTTACATGTTATTTAAAGGTAATTGTGCTATTATGATAGTGTTTCTACCTATTGTTCTAGACATGTATGCGTTCAGGGAACACACCATACTAGTAGTGTTGAAATATTATTGTGACTTTAGAAAAATAACATGATTAAAAATTGAACCTTATTCAACTATGGCACCTGCTGAACAGGCTAACAATGATAGGTATCATTAATATATTGACATTATTCGATAATCTAGATTTTATACCACTCACCTCACCTGTAACTACAGCCAAACAGAATGTAGTTAAGTAATGGGAATACTACTTTCTGTTTTATTATGGTTTTTCTACTTTCATTTCTGTAAGCTAATTATCCACTCAATATTGAAGTAAATTATGTTCTTTGGTAAACACTATTTCATTCACTCTATTTATAACCACCAAATTTTAAATAAGATAAAAATAGTGCTAAACATTTTTCAAATTTTTGGTTTGCCCCGATCTTACAAAGATACATATAATTACATTGGTTGTTAAAGTAAGACAAAATCTATAATAACTATCTAGATTTTTTTTCAAAAACTACTGTTCTTTGAGAAATTTTAATGCTTAGATTGAATGTGACATCCCTACTCACACACACACACACACACACACACACACCATCGCACATACATACATATAAATATTTGACTCCAAATCCTGATGTGTTAAAGAATAAATAATAATCAAAACTAACCAAGCTTGTCTGATATCGTCTACAAAATGTTAGAAAAAAAGTGTGCTGGAATTTAAACTGCTGTAAGGTAATATTGTACAAGGGTGTATAAAACATGCAGTTATCGTTTATGCCTCAGTAGAATTGCATTGTGTAATTCAAACTTCATTACGTATATTTTGGTTTCAATACACATATGTATGATAATGAAGTATGGTCAGAGCAAAGTTCAGTTATTGTACAAGTCGGAGCGTGAAATTTTACCATGTTTAGGAAATCCAGTCAGGCCTCATAAATCATACTCTTAAAGATAAGAACACTACCAGTATTTACATTGTTTAAGGCACAATAAAACATAACTGTTTCCTGACTGTACCTTATGTAAATACATTGTTTAAGGCACAATAAAACATAACTGTTTCCTGATATCCAAGTTATATACATGCTATTGCATATAGCTAACAATGGGTTGCCCTGGATTTTTTAGTCAACCCTTCTGTTAAAACTTTTTTTACAATCTTTAAGGATGCAATGTTGGTCAGGATCATTTACATATAGAACCCTTATAAAATATTTCATTTTAAAAAAGAAAATGATAAAACTGCTTATCTACCTTATCTATATAGCCAGTTAAAAGAGAAAGTGTTCAGAAAATATGTTTTTGTTGGTTTAACCTAAAAAAATATCATGTATATATCAATTTTTATGAATCAAACAAAAGACTCTCACATGATCATATTTCTTCATATTATGAATTATTCTGGATATGTACAAAAGTATTTTGCAGTCAGATCATCAGACTAAGATTCTATTACTGCTTACTTGCACTATCCAAAATGTCAAATTATAATTGTTTGATGTATATAATCTACCACTTTACATCTGTAGATATATTTGGACTTAACATTTACCAGTATCTGTTACCAGTTTATACTTTATGTCCATTCTAGCAACATGTACAACCATAACACCAAAGGAATCAGTAAGTCATTAGTTATCTTAAAGTAAATTCTGACATTGTGAAAGTTTCCAGTGATACGTTAAACTGAACTTATCTGTCAATGAGAGCATGAAAGATTAATAAAGGTGTATAAATTAATATCACATTGAATTTAGGTTACTTCAAAACAGTTCTTCCCATAAAATCATTTCTAAAATGTACCTTGATACATACAGTATGATTGACAGTAAATCTTGTAAAATAGTTGTTAAATGATCATGAAGTGAGTACATGTACATTATGTCAGTTAATAAGACTCCTGTTACAATTGCAAGGTTTCTTAAATTCTCGGGTTGTCAGATGGTGCAGTGGAAGCACACTCGCATTTCAACTAGATGTCTTTGTTTGCTTTCCCGAACAGACATGTAAAAATATGGGGTTCGCCTGCCCAATGAAGTGGGTTTTCCCCGGGTACTCAAGTTTCCTCCCACATTATGATTCCATGAATGCTAAATTCATCCGGGTTAACAAGAGTGATTTATATAGGTGATATAACTTGTTCCACAATGGTTGTAAAATAAATGAAGTTTATCTATATTAAATTACAAATCATGATTTGGATAATTATTTACCATTCTACATTAGTGGTCTGACATGGGTCATGTATTAATAAAGTAAAAGATCAATTTTCCTAACTGAATTTGAATTTTCAGTTTTGTAACATTTGGCTAATGTTTCCTTCATGTACCTTTTCGACGAAGATTTGAGCATTTGAACATCATCAGATTTAACAGGAGTACTGTAGGGCAGAACGATATAACTTGCAACACTAAAAGATGATGTTGAATCAAATGTTGTTCATGAAAACATAATTTCACACAATGGTTATAAAGCCTACAAAATTTTAATAGAAAATGAATGAAAAGAGATTGAGATTTTAAGACCTGGTTTAAATTATGAAAACAAAAAGGTGCAGTTACTCTTTCTAATACAGTTGAATCATGATCAATCTGCCATCTAGAAAATATCCTTTCAAGTTGATTAAGCTCAACAAATTTCAAATAAATTGGTTAATCACTTAGAGAGAATTCCAGCCCATATCAATATTATGAAAAAATCATGCTGCAGACACTCTTTCAAATACAGTCTAATAAAACTATGCATTCAGGAAAGCACAACTTTATGTCATGGTGATTAAGCCTATATTTGAAAATGATTGCTTGAAAGCTGAGAGACCTCTATACAAACTAGACAAAACAGACAGATGGACAGACAACACTATATGTACCAAAATATGTCCTTTCAAATTATTTTTATGAATAAAAATAAAAAAGCTACGTAAATATGTTTTCTTGACATTTGCTATGAAAATTCCTCTTCACAATAGTATTGAACACAGGCTACATTGTTTCATTTATCTGTTCAGAAAATTTGAAATCTCTGAAATCAATTTGAATACATAATATGAAAATAATCAAAACTTTGCATGTATATATAGTCTACTATATGAAAAGATGCCAGAAAATATGTTTGGATGCCTTGGAAAACATCAGTAGGACACTGATATATCTGGAATGTACATCAGGGTAAAAACATAATGCTGTTATTGATTGTATGCGTTTTATACACTTCCAGTTATTTTTCTATGTTATCCTAATATTTGATAACTCCAAGTCAATTCAGAATTACGAAATAAGAAACAAAATCACAAACTGATTCAGACAGGAAGCCATTTTTGTTTACAGGAGACAGTATTTTGTACTATGCATTATCGTATACAATACAAATATATACATAACCTGATCGTTGATCAACAAATAAGAATTTCTTTTTTATGATAATTGATTTATCTCTTTAGATGCATAATTCAGCGAAAATCAACTGTCCTACACTTAATATACACAGTCTCTGAAGAAAAACACTACTACATGTTGTCTGACATGCATGTGAATTTATGGAGATTTCTTTTTATAATTATTGTTTGAATGCAGACTCTGGTGAGTGTCTTTTTTTCTTTTTTTTTTTTTTTGCACATACTTTTATAGGGCCAGAGTTTTGATGTTCACCTGATTTCAGATCTTTTTACATACGAAGTTGATAGAACATCATAATAATTCAGGCAGACTATGTTACATGTATTAAATCTGTATGCATCTAAATTTCAGACTCTCACATATGAAAGTGATGTGTAGATTTACATTTTCTGTGATGTTTGGACACAGGCAATCAATTCTGGTCTGACAGTTGGATTGCTGTTTAGAAACATTCGTTCGAATTACTCAAAAGTCTGTATGATACGAAGTTTTGCTTTTCCTGAAAGATTCCTCTCAGTTCAGAATTTAAGTTGACAAGTTAACATCAATATGATTCTGACCACAGTAGAATCCACGGATACTGTGACTGTATTCACTACAAATGCCTGGACAACAACATTCTCCTTACCCCGATTTTTTCAAAAAGTGACTCTGTCTGTTACCTAGTCATAGTGACAGAGACATCAATAAACTCGTGGCTAGATAGGCATAACCATTCAGACTATCTATTACTTTAATTAGGTATCTATTTACTTATTTTGAAAGATGCACATTTCAAGCATCCGTGTGATGATGACATAAAACAGCCGGACAGAAAACTTCGTAAAATTATAGAGTTAGTACTCACGTTCTTAGGAGATGGTGTCTTTCAGTGCTGGAAACTGAGACAAAAGTTGGTTATCCGTGTGTTGTAATGATGTTAATATGCGATTTAGTTATGTTATATTGACTTAATCAAGTGAATGTTGCATCATTCCGAACCGGTTAACATGTGGACCGGAAAGCAAGAAAATGTTTCCCGAACATGCGCAATCACATTCAAATATAAAAATAAAGCCAACACAGCGACAGCATATCCGATAAATAGATAAAGATGTCTTAGTGGTATATATGCCAATGGTATTGGGTCTGATCATATTGTCAGTGCAGATTTATCAATGGTTCTGGTATATAAAGAATCAGAAATAGGCGCGGAATGAAGCTGACAGTCTGCAAAGAATATGAAAGTCGAATTCGACGCTCCAACACTACCTCTCATCACCGGTATCTCGAACCGGAGACGTATATATGTGATATATACGTCTCTGCTCGAACATAAACAACACAATAAAAATCAAGTCCATCATGCAAACTATAGTGGGCTTAAGTTTGTCTTGTATTGTTTACGTTCCAGATACAGGTGCATGTGCTCTCTCTTTGATAGATTTCTGTATCAGAAAAAAATGCGAGATAGACCGAAGCGGGCACAGGTCAGTCCTAGCTTTAAGGGAAAAGGTTATATGAATATGGAAAATCTTTGGCTCGAGTGTTTTATCCACTGTGTTAGTCCGAATTATATGTTGTTCTATAGACTATCTTCATAGCTGTCTGGAGTCGATGAACTCCAGTCCGATATCAAAAACTTAGAAGTCGACAGAACGTCATTGAATTATTCGGACCAGAGACGTATATAACATGTTATATACGTCTCTGTTGGGACTGTTCCTTTAACAAATTCTTGAACGTTCTAAATAGGGACAGGTCAATTAGTTTCTGCTGTAAAATTTTATTTGACAGTAAATGATGAGTCACGCTATACTACTTCTTAGTCGAATATTATTCTAAAAAAATGTTGTAAAGCCGGTTATGTGTTATCTATTGAGACTAAAGCACATAGATGTACTCCGAAAGGAGGCCGCAGCGACGCTAGCTCGATACTCACTGATTTTTTCCATCTCTTACTTGCTCAATTTTCAACTTAATAAAGCCAGAGACGTATATAACACATAAAGCATAGCTCTCATGAGTCGATATATCAAATGAATTTCCACCATATGGTACTTCGCTAACGTTCTCAGGTTAACTAGTTAAAGAAATTACAAACACATAATAATGATATCTCCGCATTATTGCCATCATCGAAATTCCAAGGGTAACTTTGAAATTCAAGGATGCATTAAAGTATGTAATGAACTTCGAGAAAAAAAGCTTGCCATTGTCCAGGTATTATAAATATTCAAAGACGTCATTTCGTTAAGAAAACAAAATTCTTTCAATTGAATTATTTTCACTTTTAACATTTATTTCACAAGTAGATGTGCTATTGAAGAAAGGACTGTCATTTTCATGAATAGAATTTTTTCAACTTACTCATGTAAAAACAAAGCATTTCGTCATCTTGCATCATAATAATTTGTCGGCGCCAAATCGGAACTGGAAGTTGCACAATATCAAAAGTTTATATTTATCATTATCTTTATGTACGTCTGATAACGGGGTGAGCCGCAGCGTGGTGGCAGGACTCTTCCTCTGAGACTAAAGCAGTTAGGATCTAATACCTGACGTGATGGCCTCGGTCTGATCGTCAGTGGTCCACTTCGCCAAATCGATACTCACTCTTTTTCATTATAGTTTTAATATTCACCCCTTAATTATCTCTACTGACGAAAGAAGGAGAAAATAGGTGTGTAGGTAATTTACATGATGATTTTAATTTCTTTGTCAAATACAAGAACATTCTAAATATAGGAAGCTTCAATCATTTTTGATGTATGGTTTTATTTGACAGTAAATGATAATACCTGCCATTTTGCCTCCTTTTCGAATATCGTCTTGGTAAGATTTTGCAAAATTAATAGTATAATGAGTATGGAGTTGGTGCAGCGGTATCCTGGAGTTTATCAGGATATTTCTTCAGTCTACTCAGGTAAGATTATATGATATTTGTTAATAAAACAATTCAACTATATTATAATATATTTATTCTGAAAGGGAAATAAATCTTATTTTATTTCTTACTTTTTCATGATGTTTACATAAAAAAACCAACAATGTAGTAGTTTGAGTATTGTATATGAAATGGTCGAAAATATGTTTACAAGTCCCAGCTCTGAAAAAAGGTCGTGTGATTATGAAAAAGAGTGAGTATGGAGTTGGTGCAGCGATATCCTGCTGTTGATCAGGACATTTCTTCAATCTCCTCAGTTAAGATTCTATTATGTTTGTTAATAGCACAATTTTACCATATCTGTAAAATATTTATTCTGATAGGGTAAAAACTAAATATACTAAATATTTTTTCATGATGTTTACAACTAAAATAACATTGCAGTAGTTAGATAATGGTATATGATAAAGACGGAAATATGTTTACAAGCCAAGCTCTGCAATGATTTCGTAAGATTATAAAAAAGAGTGAATATCGAGGTAGCACTGTGGTTAATGATTGTGAAAATTCCGGTTACTGATGTAGATTCCATTTTGAAAAACATAGATATATTACTAAATTGAAGCAATAAACGAAGACTGATTTCTCCCCACCTTTACATAACATGGAGTGAAGTCAAAGAAAATGGACGTTTTTACATTTATTCCTAACTCGTGAGAAATGTTAGCGGATATTGCACCACTGTCCAGGTAGCTTTATATGTATCAGTTACCCGGTATGTTAAGCAGAGAGCCACAGCGTGTTATGTACTATGTATTGAGACTAAACACAAAACTGTACAACACGTTTTACGTTGCACATTGAATGAAAATTTTTACATACAAATTTGGCTCGCAATATTTGGTCTTGGTCAACTGGGCGAGGTGGTCACGTACGATGGGACGTAAATATACATGTACACCGGAAGTGCACATGCAGAAAGTCAAGCATAAATAGGGAAAATTTTATCATTTGAGTGTCTACGGCCATATCACGTTGAAAACACCGGTTCTCGTTATGAGTTGTATACCAGCTGAATACAAGAAAACAGTTTTAACCAGTGTTCACACAAATACTAGTACGGAGTGTCAACCTTATGTCGTGTACAAGGATGACAATGGCACCACGGTAAAGATTTTTCCCAGGTCTACTCGGGAGATTTATGCGTGTTTTATCAGACGTTGTTTTAAAAAGCCAAAGGCGGTAGATTACTGGTCAGACATTTTTGAAAATGCTGATTTGAAGCCCGTTTTTTCTATAATGTATATGCCCTTTTTGCCCTCAGATATCATTGATGTCCATTTTCGCACTGTCCACAATTCTATTTTTACTATGGACAAGTTGATGAAAATTGGTAAAGTAGATAGTGATGTTTGTCTTGTGTGTAATATAAAAAAGGAAACATTACAACATATGTACTTTGAATGTTCGGAACTGTCAGACTTCTTAGATTATATTGATATGTTAACAAGGAAGTTGCTTAAGGATGCTAACCCCACTTATATTGTTGATGTGTCTCTTAGGAAGCTGGTTCTTTTTGGTTACACTAGAAAAATTAAAGGAACAAATCATTTTTTCCTCAACTTCTTGTTAGGTGTAGTCCGTTTTTGTATTTTTAAAAGAAGAAATCTTGTAGTGAATAAAATGTCAAAGGTTGATTTGAGGAATTTTTTTATGTATACTCTTCGTAAATATTTTGACTACGTACAAATTTACTACAAGGTGAACAATAAACCGTTTCTTTTTGCCAAATACATGGTACAGAATAATCACTTGTTAGAGAAGAATAATTCTTCAGAAAGAAATTTAGTACTGTCATTGTGAATTATGTTAACGCAATATTTGAGGGTGTGTATTATAAAGCCTTTATTAGATTAAAGACACATTCTATTTTTATTCAATCTGATGGAATGATAAAATACTCACTATTTCACATTCGAAGAGACCGACATGTATTGTTTTTTTAATGATTATTTGATTATCATATTATGTAAGCTATGATATTGTCATCGATCTATATATGCACTGTGAGGAACCTCCGGGGCACCAACCCCGTAGGCCCTATTTGCTGGTACATTAAAATTAATTTAAAAACAAAAAAAAAAAAAAAAAAACCGGTTCTCGTCCGATCACCGAAGTTAAGCAACGTCGAGCCTGGTTAGTACTTGGATGGGTGACCGCCTGGGAATACCAGGTGTCGTAGACTTTTCCTTTTTTTTTTATATATAACTTATTTTTTTCATAATGTACCCTTCAGTAACATAACGGAATCAAATCTTACTCCAATACTGAATCATTTTTTCTTTTTATTAAGTCAACACTACAGTCTTAACCACTGCTATTTCCACACTGTACATATCATATTTAGACATTCAGCTGTATAGCTTTACATTGCACATCATCGCTCGCGTACCAAGGCACCTATGTAAATACACGTATAAATACAGAAAACTTTAGTCGTCTAATGACCACTGACCAGGTAGCTTTATTTGTATTAATGATCCTAAATAGTAAGCAGTGAGCCACGGCGTGTTGTGTATCATCTATTGAGACTAAAGCACATAGCTGTACTCCGAAAGGAGGCTACAGTGACGCTACCTCGATACTCACTGATTTTTTTGTCCATCTCTTACTTGCTAAATTTTCAACTTAATAATCAAATAGATAATTTCCCATATTTGGTAGAAATTGACATGACCAATATATATAATTAAAAAGAAATCAACACGGTAGTTCGCCAACGTTTTCAGGTTCACCGTATATCACACTAGTTACACATATATCTAAACATATAGCAATGCTATTGCCGCATAATTGCTATCATCGAAATTCCAGGATTACTTTGAATTTCGAGGATGCATTATAGTATGTAATGAACTTTGAGATAAAAAGCATGACAGAGTTTCAGGTATTATAACTTATCAAAGCAGCATATCGTTAACAAAACATAATTCCTTCAATTTAATTATTTTCACTTTTAACATTTATTTTACAAGTTGATGTAGTTTTCTTAAGAAAGCACTATCATTTTCTTGAAGAGAAATTTTGAACTTAGTCATGTAAAAACAAAGCATTTCGTCATCTT